AGCGTGGAAATGAAAAAGCTTCGCGCGTGTGAAAACCAATTTTTACATCTCGGGAGATGCTGGAATGTAATATTAAATATTATTTTCTTTAATCAGCCCATGGTTAGCAGAAGGAGATGAAGTGTTTATATTTTATGGCGAAAATGTTCACGCTTTTCTCGAAAGGGCTGTTACAGATAAAAATTGGATATACAACACAACATCTAAGAATGGAACTTTAAGCTTTACATGGGAAGTCGCTCCTTATGAAAATTCTTGTTTCTTTCCAGATGGTACCAGCAAAGTTCCAGCAGGAAATCCAGGATATCAAGAATCAGACATTGAGGAGTTTCCAGAGAATGCACCTGATGATTCTCCCACCGACCCAGATTCGCATTCCGAATTTCATCCCCTGAATCCGGAATCTCTCGCCATGATGCACGGAATTAGCAACGCAATTGATCCAGCAAGCGTGTCAATGATGGACCCAACATGGAACAATAATGATAAGCAAGGCGTGAAAACATCGCACAGCTTAAGTATCGATCTTCAGATGCATCAAAATCCAGATAAACCCCTGTCTGCTGCTGGTGATGCTGTCGATGACGACAATAATACGAATCCAGGAGAATCATCATCACTTCCAATAAGCGCTGATGGCGGCAGCAACATGGAAGTGTTCCACCACGTCCACTCATACATTCACCCCCAAGACGCGCCAGTTGAGATTATTCCTATATTCCGAAACGACAGAAATGCTCAAGAAGGAACCAAGGATAATAATGAACACGTCGTAGAAGGTTACTACCACCATCATCATCATCAAAACCCAGGCCTTTCACCAGATTGGATTGTGGAAAACGCAGGGCAATTCGCCATCCCAGTGGCGCAACACGTTTTGCTCAAAGATAAAGGGAAGAAGCCATCATCATCATCATCACCGCAGACGACCAGCAATGCTCATCTGCAAAATTACTACCAGCAAAATGGCTTCACGAATCAACAGCATCACAATCCAGGACAACAGCATGTTCACCTGCTGAAACCGCAGAATAATGGACAAGAACAACACCCAACGCCACATTGGATTAGTTCTTCAGCATTTGAAACCCTTCCCCCTGTTCGGCAGGACTCTTTGTCAGTCCAACCATCACCACCACAAAATCCAACATGGCCGAGCTTGAATCAGAATATTTCCATTTACGTTTATGGCGTTCCTAGTCCAACTCAGCAGCATCAGAACAATGACCCAACTACAATAATGTTTGCAAATAAAGTAAATTCTGCTGTAGATGCTGTTGAAGAGCTAAGAAGTGGGAATAATACTACAGAGTCATCCTCAGTGATGATGCCATCAACTCTGATGAGTACTACCACGACTGCAAACCCCAGACCAATTGAAGTAACAACAGAAGTTCCCAAAAGTGAGCTAATTCCAGCCACAAATCAGCAAGCAGATCCAGATCAACTACCAAATTTGTTTTCTTCTGCATTGTCCCAGTTGACTTCCAATCAAGTTGTTCAACTTTTGGCTGGACTTGTTGGGCACGGAAATACTGGAGGTATATGCTCAAAGAATCAACAGTGGCAATTTTTTAGATTGTGAAGCTTGAATCAGCCTGCTTCATTTAAAAAAATAGAAATTTATTGATTCCTCAGATTCCATGTAAATTCGGTCCAGGTATGAAAAAATTCATTCATATGTAATGGATTTTTTTCATAATTCAAAGCAAAAAATCCCTTAAGATTTTATGAAATAAATTAATAAGTTCCAGGCATGAAAAGAAACTCAAACTTTAACCACAGCAAAGAGTTACATTTTATAATTTAAACACATTAAATGCTCGATTTTTTTCAAGAAATGGTCTTCTAAAGAAAAAGATAACATTCCTGACATCAAAAAAATTTTGCAGGACTGAAACAAATTTTAATTGGAGGATTTTAGTATCTGGATGATACCACGGGGTTTCGCATGGACTTCATTCCACAAAATTGATTTACCTTGGCAATTTTTTCAAAAGTTGTAAGTGATAGGTATATATATCTGAAATCCATGCTACATTTATTTACAACTTGATTTGAAATTATTCAGTGTGCGCCATATTTCCTCTGCACGTCAGTTATTGCTTATCTTTAACACATGTTCCTCCTCAAATTTGAATTTTTTGTGTTTCGATCAAGTAGGGATGCAGTGCATAATGAAACAATATAGAAAAAGTCTAGACTTGTGTTGATCAGTACTGTAATTGATGGACCAGAAAAAAATATTTTAATGACATGCATTCTCCTGAATGCTGTTTCAAACCAGGTGATCATTAATCGTTGATCAAATTAAGGGTCAATCTCTTTATAATCAATACGAAAATCTCAAGCTGTGTGCATATTGATGAGTAATGAGACCAAAGCATCTGTTCGAAGAAAATTCAAGAACTATGAATCCAATGCTGACTTTTTGTTTATTTCAGGATTTGGAAGCCAAAATCCTTCAGCACCTCAGCATAATTCACAGCCCAACTCAATTTTGGAAGCACGTAAGTACATTGCATGCGTATACTCTATAGCAGTCATTCAGGGTTGCAAAATAAAAAATCTTGTTATTTCAGAAAAAAGTGGGTTGAATGAAGCCCATAAAAATGTTGCTACACCACAGCAGTCAGGATACCAAAATAACCAGCATCCTCTTGGTGTTCCACCAATGCCTGCACAACATAATTATCATCAAGCTGTTGCAGGTCAACTTCAAGGACAGCAAAATTCTGGTCCTTTACAACAACATTATCAAAACTACCTGTCTTCATTAGCAGTTCATCAGTTGACAGATGCTCTGAAAATGCCTTCCACATTTGCCAACTACTTTGCACCTGGAGTCAAGGGGGACCATGTCCATTCAACCTACACACAAGGTCCAGTTGTCAGCAATGGTCCCCATAATACTTTCCCCGGAACCAGTAATTCCAACATGTTTGGACAAAGTTCCAGTCAACCCATCGGAATTCCTTATACGTATCATCAGCAAGAAATGCAGAATCCACCAGCACCTGTTTCACACAATAAGCAACCAAATTTGCCACATCATGTAGCAATTTTACAGCCATTGCAACAGAGTGCAAATGGACAATTGGAGAACTATCAGACGACCTTTGTCAAATTGCCTGGAGCTAATTTACAGCAGAACCAAGCAGGGAATCAACTGATACCACAGATTCAGAGCCACAATCCGCACCTGACACAACAGCAATTCCATCAGAATTATGCTAGCAATCAGCAGACAAGCTTTCATCAACAGCACAACAACCAAAAAGAAGTTTCCAGACCAACACAGCCATTCAACAATAATGGACAACCAACGAATCAAGATCAAATTTCAAGCATTGATCAGGCCAACAGACAGCAATCAAGCTCGGGTAATTTACATCAGCAGCATTTTGATGACCAGCAATCACCAACAATACATTCTCATACAAATGAAGAACAACACATTTCGAAAAAGCCACTTGGCATGAGCTTCCAGCAGAGCCCTGAGTCAGAGAAGAAGCAGCAGCAGTCGTCTCAATCTCTTTTTCAACAAATTATGTCTGCTCAGTCTGGCACGGACAGAACGAAACAACAAGTCACAGAGCAGTTGGGGTCCAAAAGACCTCAGATGTCGTCTCCGACGATAACTCGGTTGCAATTGGCACCTGGGAACTCAACGGACAACAAAGAGCAGCAGCAGCAGACGAAAGACAAAGAGCAGCAGATCTACATTAAAAAAATCCCAGAGAAGCTGACGTCCTGGATTAGCGAGAGACCCAATCCCCCGGGACAAACCGACGTCAAGATCACCGCGCACATAACCATCAATCGCAGTCGTGGCAATGACAACAACCAAACTTCCAGTGAACCCATATCACAAGTGTCACACCCTGCACATACAGACATGAAAACAATGCGGATAAAGCAAGTGGAAGCTGCTCAGCCCTGGGAAACAGTCATGGGACGCAGCGCATCCAAGAAGAAACTCAAAAGCTCGAACGTCGAGAAAAGCGAGGGAAGACGAGTGAAAGTTACCTTTGTGTTGCAGAAAGAGAAATCCAGCCGGTAGTGATGCGAGATACCGCTGAAACTTGGGTGCCAATTTTGTTAAGTTTGTTGTCACATTATTGTAATTGATTTATTATTTATTGAAAATGAATTATTTGTGCAATAAAATCACAGTCGGGGTTCCGCTGCCATCAACAAATGCAAATTTTCCAAGCTTGGTAAATAGCATAACACACCATTGCGCATGACACACACCTGATTTGATGACTAAAAATTTCGAGAAAAATTCCTGTTTCCACCTTGGGTGGGCTACAAAGTTTACAATTATCAAGAATATGACATCGGGCTGAAATCAAATTTTCTTGCGTATTTTCTTGGGTTGCTTTGGTTTAAAGCCAAAGACAAAACAATTTTTTCTGAGAACTTTGTACCCAGGTACAATTTGAACCCAATATTGGTGAAAAAAAAGTGTGCAAGATAATTCAGTAAATACGGTATCCTTACATCGACAAAGTACGGATAGAAGCGGCTATCTGAATCCTGTGAAAAAATAAAATCCTTATATAAAAAGGAAACTGGATACGAGGACAATTTATAAAAACAAAATATTTTGCATCAGGATACACACATTTTTATTGCTTCGTTGTCTACCTCTGATTTAAAAACGGAGAAATCAAAATAAGTTTATATTATCCATTCAAGTTTGTACCCAGTTGTCATTTGCCTCTAATTTCTGTAAAATAAAATTGCGCCTGGTACTCTAGTCAGTCTAGTAAAGATGGTATATTTGCATTGATATACTGTAGTACCGTACAAATAAAAGCTGCTTTCTGAAATTCTATGAAAAATTACAAATATTTACTGAAAACGAAAATTTGAAATGAGTACATTTGTGATTTTTTTTAAATGGTACAATGAAGTGTAAAAATGTGATGATCATATTCTTGGTGGAAAAGTCATGGAATCCTCTACCATGTCAAGAGTTCAACACACACAAATTAATCTGGCAGATCGTTGCATTTCCGGGTTTTTCTCAGGAACAACGTCTGACGTTCCATTCCCGCGTCAATTTGAGAAGACAATCCACGACCGGCTTTCATCTCTTTTTCTTGCACATCTTCCTGATTTAGCACCAGGAACCCCCTCAGAACTCGGGCGGTCGTTCCCCACACCTCGTCGCGCAAATTTAATTACAGTTGTTTCAACCTCACAGCACTCTTTCGTAGAATAGCAAATACGCCTGAGCCTTGGCAACCCTGTCGGCGCTCACTTTGGCCGTGTGGGTATCCGACGCGTGGTACCACACTCCAGGCACTTCCTTCTCATGTTGCGCCACAACATCCGTCGCGAAGGTCTCATCGAAAAAGCTGGGGCTTTTTTCATTCGTTTCCCTCCAGCACGTCAGAAATTTCTGGAAGTAAGAGTCGACGTCTCCGTCCAGGTCAACGTTGAGCATTTTTCTCACTTCCTCGATCGCTTGTGGCTTTCTAACTTTCACGTAAGCGGTATAATGGCCGCCTCGAAGCGAGCCCGAATGTTCCACAACGGCGAACAAGGAGTAGAGGATTAAACTGTTTCCTTCTGGGGCGAGCACCTATAACCAAACAGAAAAATAAATTTTAAAATACTTTGTCTAACTGGTCGGAGTTTCCGCTTCGGTTGATCCTTACTTTACCGACGCAAACTATCCGAATGAAAAGCATCGCCTGTTTCATCATTCTCATCACAGAATAACCAAATTCATTTCGCTAAATTAGGCGAGGTCCCGAATTTTTAGCACGATGTTGAAAGGCCAACACGTACTGATAGCACACTTCTTTTCTTTATGGGTTGTGCGAAAGGATACGACGCGATGAGAAAATCATCTGTTCGATAAAAAAATGTTTCGTCTTAAATGAAAATTAGCCCAAGCGCAGGTAGATGTCACCGGCAATCTCAATAAATTTCGATTTCAATCCGCAGCATTCCAAATACAGTACTTACACTGCAAAAATAAGCACAATAAAGCACTACTCTTGTGCCCATAGGGCGTGGTCAAAATAACATAAGATATTTTCTATTGAAATGATCACAGATTTTTTGTCATGAAATCTTATTCATGAATGGAATTTCAAATAGGAAGTTCACTTACTAATTTTAACAATGGAACATAAAAAAAATTGCCATATCCCCTGCACAATGACCTTTTGAACATGCTCTTGTTCAAGCTTATTTTGATTTCGCTTAAACATTAGAATTTACGCCCTTTTCTTAGGAATTTTTAGCATACAGTACTTTTCAAAGAGGAAAAGTTCATCCACTTCTCTTTTCACTAGCTCAGAAATCTGGAGATTTCTTCGACAATTTCAGGCATTCGGCTGATTTCGTCATTTGATTTTCAAAAAAGACACATTAACACTATCAACACAAATAATTCGTCGGAATACGTAAAATTGTTTATGATGTCAAAACGAAATACTGTACTTACACGGGCAGGCTTGGCCACATATGGGGTGAGATCCAGAACGAAAGGAAATTCCACTTGCTTATTCACTTTTCGTAATGTGAATGAACTGGTTTGCTCAAACCGTTTGAAATGCAGCGTTAAAACTGCTGGCGGCATCAGTATCAAAGCTTGCCGACTAGCATTCGAAAGATGAAGCTTTTTCTTTTTTTCTGCCTTCGACTTCATCTTTTCCTCATCTGCGAAAAAAATTGATCCGGTAAGTCAAAAATAAAATGAGAAAAAAACCTAGATAATGCAAAAATCAAACAGAAACGAGAAAAAGGTGAAAATGTTTACCTGAGTCCGACGAAGGATGAACGTCGTTCGAAACATCATTGCATTTGTCACAAGCGAACTTGTTGCAGCCTGATAAAATTTCAGGGCTTGTGAAATGCGTCAACAGCATATCAACATTCACACTAGAATTCCCTTGCCGGGTTCGTTTAACTCCACTGCGATCTTGACAAAGTGTTGCCCACCGCTTCAAGATCATGTCTTCAGATATTTTCTCCGTCTCCAAAGATAACGCCGCCATTTCGGAGATGGTGTGGTTGACATCATCGTCCACACTACATCTGCTCTTCGTTATCGGTGAAGTATCCACATTTCCGTTGTCCATGCTGGTCCATCCACTATCATTAATTGTTTGGCAGGTTTGTTCTGGCTCCTCCGGCGGTGGAGGAACTTTTCCTGAGGGTTCTACCCCGGAATCGCACGAAGAGGCCTGCAAAATACACACATGAAAAATGAGTTAATTCTGAAAATCTTTTACTCGCTAGGCCTTCAAATGAATAAGTTCATTTGAGCGTTTGCGTAGTCACAAATGAAAGATTGAAGCAATAATGGGAGCATCGAAGCAGCGAGTTCTAAATTTTCAACGAACTCCGACTATGGAAACTTTTTAATGAAGACCAGAATATTTCTATATATGTACCGTTTTATGCATCACCCTTCATATAAAACGATAGAATATGAAAGTATCTTCTCGTTTCTCCACACATAATGAGGACTGAAAATATGTTCTGCTTATTTGGCCTGACATTTAAGATTGTGTAAAAAGTCATTTTTATACTGCATACAGTATTTTCTTTTTTCAGTTTCAAGGTCAACAGCTTTGTGATCATTTTCAAAGGATAAAATAGATGCATCCACAGCATATCAACATATACGGATGAATATTCCCAAGTGTTAGCATGGTATTTGCCGTCTTTACAGATGCAACAAAATTTTAAATTTTTTATTACTTGAGACACACATTGCAGATATTGCACATGAGAGCGGAATGCAACTTAACATTTCGACGCACAGTATTTGATACTTCAAACTTCGCGATTTGACGAGTAAGCAAACTTACCGAATGTTCTGAATTCACCGACACGGCATCAGCGGAAATCCCTCGTGGAGAAGAACATCCCCGGGAACCATAAGTATCCAGATTATCTTCAACATCACCATCACCACCGTTGAAACTTTCTTCGTCTGCTTCATCAGCGGATGCACTGATGGAGTCCGGAGTTTCATGTTCCGGGAGTAAAGCAGAAGCAGGCTTAACGTCCTCTGCGGTTCCCGGCTCATCATTCTTGGAACACTCGGATGCAACGCTCTTCTGTTGGGCTGATTGGCGGCGTTGCTCTTTCTTCAGTAATTCTTTAGCACGTCCTTTCGGTTTCCGCCCAAGTTTTTCCAGCTTTTTTTTCTTTGACTGCAACAAATCACTGGGCTCTCCCTCATCTTCATGCTTTGTACCATGGCGGAGAACCTGCAAAAACACTCAATACTTGAATCACCGATTCGAATCCCATTCGATAAGCCTCAAATTTCAAAGATGAAAATAATTCAGGCGATGCTCGTAAGCACGCTTTTCAATGAAACGGTATTCGATTAAAAAGTATGAAATTAATTTTTTTACAGCATTATACAGTACATTTATAGAAGATTCAAACTGCGACTTGTACATGCTAGAGGAGGTTACCAATTTAATACGATTAGAAACCACTTGAGATTATGGGCCACATGATGATTTCTGATTTCGGTCAGCAATTGGAATGGGAAGACGGGGAAAGCAGGAAAAAAAAAGGACGTTTCGGAGGAAAATTTTGGCTGACGAACTGGAAAGCATGTAAGTTATTCTGAAATAATGAACCAAGAATTGAAAATAAGGCTCAACAATATCGTAATGTTCAAAGCCTATCAGAGGATTAAAACAGCTATTCTCATCTGCATTTATTCCGTAAACGCGTTCATCACTGTATTTTTTTTTGCAGATGTAATGTAATCTCCAGCACCCCAACACACATGCAAGGCACGTGAATTCACGGGGTCTGCAATCGATTCAACGGAAAGTCTGCACCAGAATTTTAATGCATCCTTCCGAGACCAGAAACAAGTGAAACCCAGCATATCGTACATACGGACATCTTTCCAACAATGGCACTTCAAAAATGGCCTCTTCCAAATTTTCGAATAAAGCACAAGCGACTAAGGATCATAATGATTGTTTACCTTTTCGTCCAAGATTGGAAGCGAAATGTCGAGGAAACTTTCTATCCTTTGTGAATAATGATAACATTCTTCACACACTATTGTGTTGATGAACTGACCACAGAAAACCCAATCGACGACAGTGTTCTGACCGGCACGTCGTCCATAACGCTTCACTTTGGCGTGTGTCCGCTCATCCACTTCATTTGGAGTTGTTTTACTTGAGAGTTGAAAGGCATTTAAAATGCCTATCCGATAACGCTGCAAAGGCGAAAGATGTTTAGCACGTCATGAATCTTACAAATTGTCTTCCAAAACTCAGTACTGTAATACAGGGTGAATCCTTTGACACTCGACCGAAGAAAAGGCAATAAATTCCTTGACTAGCAAACGTATCACTAGGAAACTTTTGTCTGAATAAATAAACGACAGTAATCGGAAGAAATTCCAGTCGATCTCTGGACTGTAACCCGTATCTGACACCACGTGTCCCACATTCACCTGTCATTTATGTCTGGTAGCGAAAGTGAACATTTTAAGCATGTTAATTTTTTTATTTTTTCGATTAGTACCAGGCTGAATTTTCGAGGAAGTGCACTAATGCGAAGCCACCAGAAAATATTAGATGAACGTAAATATGGATCGGCAGCTCGAGATGACAAAAGGAGTTTTTGAAATCCAAGCCGATGGAAAAATACATGCTGTATGCTGCATGTGCACTACCCGGTTTCGGTTTCTAGTCATTATCCAGAAGAATTACATAAAATGTTTCCCTCCTTCCCAGTGTTACGAGTTCCTCGGATTAGAAGCGAAACTCCTTGTCTTGCTTGAAAATTCACACAGCCTCGAGTTTTGTGTCACGAGCATCATTACGCATCCGGTTATTTCAACAGAAAACGACAGCATAGCTTAAATCACCTTCACTTCATCTTGGCGGATTTGTTCAAGAAAATGTCGCAGAAGCTCTTGCGCATCATGTTGCTCTCCCCCTTCGAATTGAACTGCTCTTTTGCATAGTTTGGTGAAGAGAGAACCAGGATTGACTGGACCACGAAGCGCAGACGAAGCTACCATGAGCCTGAAATGCGACACAGCATCTTGCACAAGTGGCTCCGATTGACACAACTGTATTTCCAGGTCTTCCTGTGAGAAATAATCACACATTCCCTGAGAAATTTGCTGAAAATGTTGGCACTGCTCAACTTACAAATGACATATTCTCATTGTCGCATATGGAACGCCTTGGGGCAGGCGCTGGAATTCGAAAATTTTCCTGGCTTTGAGAATGTGCTTCAAGAATTTGCGTAAGATAGTGACACTGACTCAAAGACTGGAGAGATGAATTGAAAAAACACGTGTTGCCATTATTCGTCAATCCCTGAAAACGATTCGACACATTAGTCACGTCTTCGAGTGAAAAAAAAAAAAAAAAAACTTACACGTATAGAAGGCATATCTGACTGAATTGAAGATTTTCCTCTGGGAGCGAACTTGGAATTTTCAGTTTCGATAGCAGGGGTCGTTTCGTTCCTTGAAAAACCTGAAGAAAAAATGATGGATAATTCATCGTGTATCGTTCTCAAAGAGCGTAATGTAAGTACAGTACCTAAAGAGAGTGGCTGGTTATCAACAACATTCTGTGAGATCGTGCCCAGTTTATCCACATGTTTTCTGACCATTCCAACGACTTCCAACAGCCGCTTCGATACAGGAGGCGTCATTGTAAAATTACAGGTAAAGCAGCTGAAAATTCGTACGACAGTTGAACCATAACGAACTGCGACATTAAAAACGAAGGATTCTCACCAAACAGTCCAGTCTGAAGTGAGCAGGACCAATGAATGCACACTAGATCTAGGAGTTTTAAAATGATCGCTGCAATGATTATCATTCATCTCCGGATTCCAACAATTCACAGCGCCACACTGCAGGCAAATGCCATACGTTTTCTCCGATTCGCTTCCTTCCTAAAGGGTATTTCAACTCAAATTACGAACGGAACATCGGATGCTCATCAGCTTACTTTACTCGCATCCCTCGATCTCTGACAAACGTTGCATCGCCGCCAATCGTGCGCCCCATTCTTTGAGGCGCTATCCAACGCCTTTCTTACTTGATTGCCATTTGTTGCTCCGGTTATATGCCTACAGAGCGTTGGCTGTTCTTCTGAAAAAAAAAAGGACTTCAATCGTGGAAATACTTCGCCAAGATATCCAAAATTTAATGCACGAACAAGCAAAATTTTAAAATTCAACAAACCATTCGGACTCTCTAAGTCAGCACTTTTCTCAGATGCTTTTCGAGACCTGAGTTTCTTGCTCTTCTTCGACATAATCGTCGTGTTGTACGGGCGCAACGACGGCTGCGGTGGTCAAGTCTATAAAAACACAGGTCAAGCAAATTAGATCACGCTACCGTGATTAAAACAGGATTGCAGGTACAACACGAACTTAAGAAGTAGATTCCACTCGTAAATTTCGGCGTCCGAATGGTTCGAGACGACACAATCAAAATCTGAGCAATACAATCACATAGTCCCTCGCGTCTATTCAAGAACTGCCTTTCTTAGCAAATTCCCACGGTTCCAGATGTGCAGTATACACTGGTGCATATCATTCAGAGTGACACTGACAATACTCATTAACCTTTCGCGTATGTTCTGGTACTTCCGCAAACATTTCATATTAAATGCAGCTGTCTAATTGATCTTGACACTTCTAAACTTGACTTATCCATCAGCTTCCGTGTTAAATTACACGACCTATCAACCATCAGTCCCTCACTCACTGACGAAAAACTGTGAGACATCCGCCCGCCACGTGGGTTTCACAGGCATGCATGTTGGGTATAGCAAGGCCATGACATGGAGGAGGCATCCGCAGAAATGTGCAGTATTTTAATGTACTGTTTATAGAAGGAATAAAACCGTTGCTAATATTTTACGGGTGTAAAATATAAAATTGCACTTTTACCACATTGGGGTTTGGTAGTAAATTAGTTGATAGGTGAAACTTAAATGATTACATGCGATGAGGATGAAATTTTTGCCTCTCATAAGTATATTATGCAGGGATTTCCCATTTTCTGTTGGTTACACTGTATTCTTTAATTTGTTTCCCATACATCAGAATCGGCCTTGAGGGATACATTTCAGAAATGCATTTCTTGTGTTTGGTGCTGTTTCCAGGTACAGTATAATGTGATCCCCGGGTGTGAAGGGTCTCATGTTGAACTCAGCTGTCCTGCTGTCGGGACTTATTGAACGTTTGCGATTCCAGATCGCAGTTCAGGGACTTGTCAGTGATCGACTTCGACTTACTGCGGGGAGTAAAGAGTGAATTAGTGCTCTTGTTGAATTACCTCTTGTTGATCAAGGGCAGTAATGTGACAATTTCCCTGTCTGCGCGGTCCTGAGGAATCCAGAAGCGTGAAATGTGTTGAGTGAAATCATTATTCAAATTTTCAGACTTTCCCGGCGAAGCTTAAAAATGACGTGAGCGTGAAGAACCAGACGGGATGCTCGTTTTTCTTGCTGTTTGCGTCCTGCTCGTTTATCTATGTTATCGGAGCCTTTGTTGGTAAGAAAATAGATTTAATCGAGGTGAACGTTTGGTTTGCTTTAATGATAGTTAATCTGCTTCATTAGGATTCTACCACTTGCCTTACGATGGTATTGCAAACACAACGAGCTTCCCGAAGTCTGTATTGGCAAGTTCAATGTCTTCAGTTTCGCTTTCATCAACATACGAGTGGTGAAAGATGGCATGGTAATTGTGAGTACTGCTTGCTTGAAGTACCGTCATTAATTTGTAATTGAAGCAACATTAATTTTTAGCATGTCGACAAAATCAAGTTCACAAGTAGCTTCTTTTCTCGTGATGTCACCCGGCCAGTGCACATCATCTGCCACGACATTCGGATTGAACGTGACATCCAAAAGAAGAAATCGAAGATTAATTATGATGAAATCGCCATGTCTCCTAAGATTTTTTCTATGATCCAGTTCGTGGGTATCGAAGTTTTGCATGCAGATGTATTTCTGAGGGATTCAGCCAGTCTCGTTATGGCAACAGTTGAACGAATCGCATTGAACGGCACCTTGAATACCCCGTGCTCCGGATCAGTGCAGTTGATTATTTCTTCTTTGGCGATCAGACTTCATTCCCGTGGCAACTCGGACTCATGTTTAGCGCAGATCAGTGGGAACATAATCTCCGACATGCAGTTCGTCAGTGACGCTAGTTTTCGATTTTCTGATATCAGCTGTGTCGTGGAAAATCCCGACGTCACCATATGGGATCCACGAGGGATTTTTGGTTGTACGAAACAAAGGGAGGGTTTTGGTGGTACGAGCAAGGTATCCTGGCTTCCGGACAACTTCGACTTCTGCGTACGGGACGTGAACGGACGAATCAAGGATGCGAAAAGTTTTTCCATTCGACAATGTTCTGTGAAGTGGACCAACCTTGCGAATTTGATTGCCAGCACCGAAGGAGAGGACCTTTTTGAACTAACACTAGAAATCCTCGCAGTTACCGTTGAATCTGGATCGCGAGAGAAACTGTTCTTTTTGGAGTCATTGACACAAAAACTGATCATATCCTCGGGGTTCGAAGAAATCGATGCCGCTGTAGATCTCCGAAGCTGCTACGCTTCATTTGACCTATCAATGCTTCCTCAGTTGGAGAACAGTGAATCGGATGGAAATATGCTGAACAATTTTGGGAGAACTTGCAGAATGAAACTTGCATTAGATGTCAGAGACTTCAGTGTATTCGTTGAACCACGACCTGCAAGTATATCGCAGTTCCTCTCCTGTTCGCAAATACGCATGAGTGGAAATTTCGAAGGAAACGACGGAAATTTTTACGAAGACGTCAGCGGTGAATTACTTGTTGAAGATTTGTCCTGTTCCTTGTCGAGAAAAAGGGACCAGCAACTTACGTCACGTTCAAGCCATCACTGGGGAAATATTTTTGGCGTCGGTGTTACCATGATAACTTTTCGCTTCCTAGAAAAGATCTTGACCGTTCAAGCAGTATTAGATCGTGTGCAAGGCGAATGGAGTGATGATTTGAAGGAATTCTTGGTGGATTGCTCGTCGGAAGTTGTGAGGAAGAACTTCGGGAGCAGACCTGGGAAGCGAAATTTCATCTCGTCCGTTGTCCTTCAAGTCAACTGCAAACTTGTTGATGTGTTCATGGTCACCAAAGATGGATTTTGCTTGCGTCACCGAGTTGACCAGATCATACTTGATACCGAGGAAAATGATCAAAAATTGCTTCATCTCCGTGGCTTCAAGATCATGACGCTCTTTGCATCCGATGTGAAGAAAGTGAAATTGGATGATATCCATCATACTTCACTCATCTTAAAAGTTGCGGACGTGAGTAAAGCCGTTCCGTGTTATTGAAAACTTGATTGTAAATTGTACCTGAGCTTCAATGCTTCTGGTTGCGATATTCCCGATACTGTCGTTTAAATCCCAATCAGTAACAAAAACTCATAAGGATTGAATAAATCATGAACGTTTTATAATTCTCATGTTCCAGCTTTACTTCTAATGACACAAAGATAAAATAATGTATACAATGTCTGCCTGAGCTATTTTATGTGAGAAAGCTATTTTATTTAATAAATTAATAAAAGATGAGGTTAATAAAAATTTGTTTGAGAATAATCAGTTTTCGGTGGAGTGAATTTCATAGAATCCCTTGAAAATTTCCTTAAAAACTTAAAATTTAGCTGTGCTTCTCTGAAGTTTTGAATTTTGTAAAAGGTGAAGTATTGGTGGCGGAAGCCCTCGCCGATGCGGACGGAAATGCGTATTGCGATTGATGGAAGACTTCACCTCAGATGGGAAACCAGGATACACCTAGCATATTTTCATGTTTGGGAAGCACTGAATGACAGTAATTTTCTTGGTTTTCATCGCAAATCGAATGTTGCGAATGTACTGGCAATTCGTCCTGTGATATCTGCAAGTTTTTGCGGAGCGTTGGATTTTGAAATCCTCTTAAATCCTGACCGCGTGTTTTCGCTTCATACGGGTAAGCTGGACAATTCTTCTGCCTGCGACGTATTTCACTGAGGAAGCTTGTGAACTTTCAGGACAAGTGGAGATGTCCAATGAGTGGAACAATCCGAAGAAAGGCGTGAGATTTGAAACGGACAGAATCAGCGTCGGGTTCGATTCCCATCTCGACATTTTTACAGTACAAAAAATTTCTGTTGAGTCGTTTCCAGTGGAAGGGGATTACAGTGGGATGCGAAGCGATTGGGAGGAATTGATGAGGAGGAAAAATAGAGCTTGGTGAGAGATGAATCCGCATATTTATTTTGTGGGCTTACTTATTTTCGTGCTCTAATTCTTTCTAAAGGAAGTGGACTATAGCCTCATTCGCCTACAAATTGCCGTACAAGTACAATTTTGCGCAAGCTTTCAATAATGAATTGATGGCCGTGAGGAAGTGGCTGAAAAATTTACATGGGTGGAGCTCAGAGCCATTCAAGAAAGATTCACGGTTGCCAGCAGACTTCATGATTTCCGTGCGTTCCTGTCTTATGTAATAGGGAAATTTTGAGTTTTAAATTAGACCGAATGATTGTGTTTTTATAAACGGGTTTTAATTGAAACTTTTTTTATTAGATCGGAAAATTCTCTTTCGAACTCAGTGATGATCCATTCGAGACGAAGCTTTGGGAAAATTACTCGTTGATGGAAGATGAATCTATTGAGCGAGACCGGAGGGAAGAAGCACTGACGCGGGAAATCAAGAAACTTTTCGCTGATCAACTCGACTTTGATGCCCGTCTGAAAGAATGTCGACAGAAACTGACTGAAAAAGACTCCGAAATTTACATCGTGCGTTCTAAGAAATTGCATAGCAACGCCGATAAAAATTCGGCAAAGCTTTTCACCTGGATAGTGACAGACGTGACAATAGTAGCCCTTGCGGATCCGAGTTTTCACGGGGAAGAAAATTGCCTGAGGGTGTTGCGAGAGCTGGATGAAAGCGGAGCGAATTTACCTGATGACGTCAAGTTTTGCATACTTTGGTGTCGCGCGGTTATGATGACCGGGAAAGAATTCGTTCTGCGTTTGCGGGACTACCCTCAGACTCTAATTGATCTGAGAAATTTTAATTTCTGGGGGAAATTAGTGGGAGCGGAGCAAATACCCACCTTGAGAGGTGAACTTTGCAAGATTTCCTTGTTTAGTCAAGCATTTTCTTTGCTGAAAGTTATCGAATCTTGATTAAACTTTTATGCGTGTCAAATATTCTGCTTTCTTCTTGAACATTGCATCCGCATTTGTTCAACTTGCAATCAATGTTTCATTTTTACAAATTCATAGAAAGCTGTTCTGTGTCATGAAGCCCCGTTCTAGTTACCTTTTATCGATTTTAAAATTATTTTGTATTCTATTTTCACAGCTATTCGAACGTCAGAAGTACACATCAAGAAACCGTGGAAAAGCGCTGAAGTCGAAAGAGGAATGATGCCGCTGAAATTCTATCACGGACTGGAGATGGACATCGGCTTTTTCCAAATCGCTTATGGGCCATGTTGGGAACCTGCCTTAGCCCAGGTTCGTCGAGATTGCCTGTTTTTCGATTTTGTGTACGGTTTGAGAAAATTGATCCTCATTTTTTCCAATAGTACAACCTATCCCTTGAAAATGTTTTCGCACCGTCAATTGATCCTAGTCCACCTTTGCCGTTTTGGGACAAAATACGAATCAAGTATCACGGATCTGTCTTGGCTCGTGTTCAGAAGCTGACTCTTCTTCTGCATGCATCGTTGGATCCGTATAATACTACAGAAGAAATGGCGTTGCATTGGACAAATCTTGTGTTTGACTGGAGAAATGGTGAGTAATGGAAGAATCTCTGGCTCCCCGAAGTACTAGCTTAAATGGTCTAAAGAATTACAGTATCAGAAATAAAATCCTTGGAAACCGCGATGCTACTGCATTACATCTTGGTGCATTCTTGGTATGATTTATTCATAGAATAAACGCCAGCTCATTCCTGAACGTGTTAATTACCTCTCGTATTATATCCTCTGTCCATAAAAGGAAGCACAGTGAAAATCGAAGAGTTTCATTGCATGAAATGTACAGTATATGTGTTGTTAAGTTTAAATATGAACTTGACAAATGGGACAACAAATTTACCACTTCATCAATCACTTTATAAATTTTCAGTGGGAAAATTTCGCTAGAATAATACTGTTTGCTCGGCGAAAATTTTACATTAAACCATGTTAAAGTTCAGTTCAATTTTTCCTCAAAAGTCACGGCCCTTTTTTTTTTGCTCGAGAAACACCATTGGTATGTGTGAATTTTTTGAAGTGCATTACCCAAAAATGTCAACTCTTCGAATTTTCCTTTCAGCCAAGTTTACATTTGTTGGCGATCTGGAAGTGTCGGTTCGCACTGCATCGAAGTACGACGATTGCCGCCTTCTGCATGTTCCTAATGCCAAGTTGGTCATCAAGTTGAACTGGAAATGTGCGCTAGGAAACGCGGATGATCATCATTCTGTCTCTCCCTGTTCGCCGCATCGACTACCCGAGTATTCTTCGAATGTTGTTCACGATTCTTACCGGGCTTTCAGATCTGACAATCTTGATCTAAACGTGAGTCTCGACACACGTGCCTTTGCAGGCAGTAAGCGAGACGAGAAAGAAGAAGCTAGTGTGCTATTCTTCGCATCTACTTGTCGTTGGTTTGAGAACCTCAAGTTCATCTTGTCAGGTTTGTTTTATATACAGTATCTCTGGAAGGAATTTTTAACAATACTGTACCTTGCAATATGTTCTTCATTTACGTATGTTTCGTAGTGGTAAACCTCCAGACCACAGCAGGATGAATGACACGACTTGAAACAAGTCCTTTTCGTGCTGGGGATTTTCTAAAATTTCTGCCTTTGCATGGGTACACCCTAAGTTAAATAATTTACAGTATTGTACTGTATTTGAAATAGAAAACCAACGCTTTCCGAATCAGTTCCTCGTGAATTTCCGGAATGAGAACTTCATTTTTTATTGGAGCATGGTTTTCACTTTTCAGAACTGTTGCATTTTAGGCGGTTAAAAATATAAATATACTTGAAGATACGTCGATCTCCATTCCATTAATAAGACTCGGAACGAGTGCAGCGCAAAATTGACAGTTTGAGAACCAACCCTCGTACATTGGGTGGTCTGTCAAATAGACTTCTGCCTATTTTAACGATAGTGCTTCAAGTAGTTAACCTGTACACTTTCGAATTTGTGCACAAATAAATGTTGAAATTGACTTATTTTGTAGGCGTGAGCCGTCCTATAAGGAAAGGAAGACTGTTCAACAATCTTCGCCCTCGTAAAATCCCGCTGAGTCGACATTACAGACGAGTGTCCTTCTCGATTTCATTGGATAAAATCAGAGTCAGTTACTGGATGTCAGCTGCCAGGCAGAAAGGAATGCAGCTTTTTGGCGGCCCTCTGACGATGAGCTCTACCCATTTGCTGACTTTGTTACCGGTGAAAGATGGTCTGAAACACAGACCAATTGCGAGTTGGTCAATCTTGGCCATGACGTGTAGTTTAATGGATGCAGAGGTTAGTATTTTAAAGTATTTAAACCTTACATTTTTTCAACGTACTGTGACGCAATAATCTAACGATACGGTTTTTTTTTCGCACTATTAGTTTCCTACCATAATTGCTAGTTTTCCGAGTTGACTGGAATTTTCCAGTGATTTTTTGTGTGTTTGGACTTGATGAAGAAATCTTCTCGTGATGAGACATTTTCTCTCTCCTTCGTCCTTAATGAAAGCAAAGGTATAACTAGCAAGAGTCGTGTGAGCGTTGACTTCAATAAAGATTTTTTGATGAAGATGGTTCTTCGTATGTTTCATGTTTTTGCTTTGAGTAACTTGAACTTCCCGACTGTGTTGAGCTAAAGTAATTTCTTTTCTATTCCTATATTCTTTTCTTGTATAGTTTACGTGTAATACCGGTATCATCGAGCCCCTCTTCATCCGATACTTTATTCTTTTCATTTCTAAGTCTCATTCAAGAAAAATGCAGGTCAAAATGACAACTTTTTTCCTTCAAGATTTCCTGCACACATATATTCTTATAAATATACACGATCCCACTACGATCATGAGGGAAAGTGAAGTTTGGTTGGAAATCAATCAACCCTTGTGTTACTGTTCAAGATTTGGCTAATGAGTGCGTTGAGTCCGGAAGATCTTCCGTCGTCATCGTCCTCATCTTCAGACGAAACCCTGTCAAATGGCAAGGAAACGCCACCTCATACTACTCCCGAAGCTCAAAAAGTCGAGGAACGCACGATACCGTCGGTTCCGAGAGTTGAGAAGCGGTTCTTCCTGAGCCTGGCCCGAACAGAATATGTCCGAGACGGCGATGATGACTCAACTACGGCGACGCGCTCCTCGGGTCAGCGAAACAATAAAGCCATCGGGGAGCCAATGCACAAGCTTGTTGCCGTGGATTTGAGAGGAGCGTGGACTACTTGGAACAAGGATGTCGTGATGTCGGTCGTAGATGGATGGCGGAAGTCGCAGGCTTTGAGGAAAAACTTGAGCCGTGACGTTTTCAAAGCTGTAACGCTGAACGAGCAGCAGGTCAGTTTTGAAGCATTTTTTTATGTATTTGATTTCCATGAAAATACTGGTCTTTCCGTCTAAGATTAGTAGTCAATATATAGACGAACCGTGGTGTGGGTGTACACTTTTAATGTAATGTTCAGCAATTCTCCCCCGAGTGTTGAGAAATTTTTAATTATATTCTTCCTTTCCATTGTCCTTCGCCGCAAATTTTTAAATTATAAGTGTTTGTATATGTGAATCACTTCTTGACGTATCATTTTTGTAAGGCTTGAGAAGTTTGTATCACCATGCGTTTCAGCGACGGTCGAGCAACAATTTCATTTATTTGCAGGAACCTGTTGGAACGCTTCCTCCAAAAAATCAACAAGACAAGCTAGCCAGAGTACACTCAGAACATGTGCCTGACCCAACGATGCTTCAGAAGTTGATTGCTGATATAGAAAATTCGGTTGCTGTGTGTGAGGATATCGAAAAAGATGCTGCTTCTGAGGAACCACTGCACGGCCAAACCGCATGCGTTACGGACGATGTTGTATCGCAGCGCTGGAATAGTAAGCGTTTTTTTTTTGGATTCTAAACCCCCAATAAAGTTCACCTTGATATCCCTGATAAACTTCGGTTCTTTTTAGTCTTCTCCGTTGGTCCAGTAAACTGTTTATTTACATATCGGCTGTAATGTACTTCACTTCATTTTTTTTAGAATTGTTGAGGCCTGAATCTTTTTACTTCTCTGACGAAATTGAGTGTTCAAAATTTCTTGAGCGGTTAGTTGTTAACTCGAAAAAAATATTTCAAGTCGGATGAAAAACTGATTTCGGTGGCAACTGGGGTAAAATAAAAACGTACATATTATATTTTATTTTTGCAAATTACATTCAATATTCATAATTTAATACGCTATGTAATGTATTGATTTGATTTTTGTTTTTGTTTTTAGTTGAGTTGGTAAATAGTCAAGTACTACTACGAGGGTGCGAGTCACACGGCTATATGATAGTTTGCGCCGCCAAAGCTTTGATTGTGGGTCGAGAGCATCATCCGGTTTGGAGAGACAAATGTTTAGTGTCGAAAACAACGTGGATCGGATCATTTGACGGCCTCCAGTATTACGCTACTGTCAGCGCTCAGCGGCAGTCGGCAAAATTTTCAGGTACAGCAAGATTTCTCGTTCAGATTTTCTCACTATATGGTGTTCGCTTAATTATGTGGTATACAATACTGTTTTTAGATATTCTGTGGCTAAGCAGAGAGAATATTGACGCCCGTGACGCTACGGTTATATCAGAACTTCCCGACTTGCCAGAAATGGTTGGTTCTGGCCATTCTGTGGGGGGAGTGGTGTCAACTGTTGTTGGAACGAGTGCAGTAGAGCCGGATGATGGAAATTTCGACATAGAGGTAATGCATATACAAGCGCAACTGCGCAAGATACGAGGCATCCGATGTTCTGATTCGTGTACCATTTTCTTCTGAAAATAGCTAGGTCGTTGAATAAGAAGTCATACCTCAATACCTGTAACATCAGAAATCTAAAAAGTCTTGAACGGAAATGCAAATCTCTCCTTTGTCCATCCATAGATCTCTTAAATCCTTTTTCCCCACTCCTGCTATTGTAAATTGAAATTTTTTTGCGATTGATTTTTGTTTTTCTTAATAATGATGCCTACTTACAAGAAATTAAAAAATATTTTTGTATGAATCTTGGAAATAAATTAACATCCTAAGGGAAATTTAAAGCTTTAAGGCTTATTTACGGGAAGTCACGTTTCAATCCTACCTGTACCAGTGTATATAGTACCTTAATTTAAAATTTTTAATTAAAGCTTGATGAAGAAAAATTAATTGCGGTCCACTATTTCAGTTTTTCTTTCTCCTGGCTGCTCTCTTTCGCTGTGACTGATTTTTGCCTTCATGCTCCAACGTAAATGTAATTTTTTTTCTTTCTAGCTGCAACGAATTGTATCTCGTTGTAAATGCGAATGCTTCTACGTATCGTACGGTGACGTGAGCATGGAGCCTGGGGAATTGAAGCATGTTCCCCCACCGCCTGCTGCTGATCTTGATATTTGGAACTCAAACCAGGATCCGTTTGATGCCGTTACCCTCAAGCATCACAAGTTGCATGTTTCTACCAATCCTCTTCAGGTTTGTACATTTGTATTTCACCTTGGTTGCCGCCGAAATAAGTGTTGCGTGCCGCTTGAAATTTCCCCTGTACAGTACGGTTACAATATTTTTATTTCAAATATTGTATTTCAATATTGTATTTGTATTTATTTCAAATTTAATGGTCGACATAATAACTGTTCATTGAAAAGTAAGTGAATTTTTATTTTATTTCATTTATTTTTTTCATGAAATATGGTACAGTTTGAGAACACCGGCAAGCATGACGTCTGGTAACGTGGTTGAGGATCAGTGCATTTCGTTAGATTCCCGTATTTTCACCATCTTTAAAATGTGGGTGCTTCGTTTTCCCCACAGATCTCCTTTCAAGTTTTAAGGTTCAGTACTTCTCGACGCGCCACTCGTATCAGAATATTAATGATTTTATGCTTCAGTATGCCATGATTTTGGACATCGTGAACAACTTGGTGATGCAAGCACAGCCGAGGAAGAAGGAGATCAACGAACGGCTTCAAACGTTGCGATTTGAAACACAGCTGCATTCGGTGGCCGATCAAAGGAAGCCCATCCTGAAGCTACAAAACGATGTACGTGAATCGGTGACTGTGTTGCGCCACCTCGAACGAGAAATTTATCTCGTTCAAAAAGAGTTGGATGAGGAAGGTAAAATGCCAGTTTTTTTTATTTATTTTTGCCTTCACTATAAGCCGTCTTTTCTTTTAAAGGGGATGATAAGGTGCAGGGAAGACTTCTGGATAAGATGAAGAATTTGAATGCCCAAGCTGGCGTGTTGAAAGAAAAGTTGTACGCTGAAAGCGAGGAGCTTAACTTGAAGCTAAGTGTTTACAATGAGACTCAGATCGTTGCACACAACAGTATCCGAAGACGATGGCTCATGTCTCAGGTATGTTTGTTCCGGAAATATCCGTTGATTAAAACTTAACATCCTAAGCAATACATCGCAATACGATTGTTTTTCATTTCCTCAAGGGTGACAACTGGGCGAACGGGGCAGCGAGGCATGCAGGGTTGACGAGATCTTATGAGTTGTGCTTTACTGAAGCGCAATGGAGGCTGACAGAGTCTGACGGGCAAATTGGGATAGCGGATTTGGTGCTACGAAATTTCTTGTACAAGAAGGTTACGAAGATAGACGAATCAACGGAACATTTAGCTGAGTTGGGGTACATTGCGGTAAAGAACTTGATCCCGAACGATGTGTACACGGATCTTCTGCGTCTGACTGAAATTCAATCGAATATGCCTATGCCTAGACAGGTACGTTACCTCATACAAATATTTAAATTCTTGAGGTTTTTTCAATTTCGTGAAGCGCTTGACGTACTCTCGCATTTTTGTCGTCTAGTTCGTCGAATTTCTTACATTTATATTAAAGTTGGTTCATTTTACGTGGCGTCGATTAAGTTGTTTTATTCTGGTTGTCAACGTGTCGGCAGCAAAACGCGAGTCCTAGAATTTAGGCCCTGCTACTATTGTAATTTTCTAAATTTATTCGACAGCAACGAGCGATGCGTGTGTTCTGTCGAGACAGATTGCCAGTTGGTGGCATTGCTATCAAGGAGCACTTTGAGATCAATTTAGCTCCTCTAAATATAGGTGAGCTGCTTCAGTATGTGCTGCTTAATAATTTATTTTTTTGCAGATTTCCACAAAACATCGGTAATTTTTCTTCATGTGATAGTAAGATCCTTTGCGCAATTTTTTTTTCAGCGTTGACGCAGCAGTTTTACAAGAAACTTATGAAATTTCTTTATCCTGGGAAAGACCCCGACACGTTGGATGACGAAAACGTTTCTGCCTCTTCAACATCTCTATCCGGTTCTCGTTCTCGAAAGCAAGCGAAAAACAAGCAAAAATCTAAAACGGCCTTTTACGTCGCCATTCCAAATGACGTCGAGAAAATGAAACAGCGCGCGGAGAAGAACATGATGTTTGTGTATGTTAAAACAACTGAATTACCCATCAGACTGAGCTATAAGGGCGAGAATAAGTTATATAACTGTGAGGACTTACGTGTCACCGTACCCGTGATGGAAGTGCACAACATGACTTGGACATGGCTTGACTTCCTCTTGGCTGTGAAAGACCACTCCAAAATGGCGTTTGTTACCCAGTTTTTCAAACAAAAAATCAAACCGAGAGGGCTGAATTCAGCTGGCAGTGTGGCTGACATAGGTTCTGAAGGAGAGAGCCGAGTTGAGGAAGAGGAAATTCGGAAAGTGCAGCGTGACTGGATGATGGTGAGTATATTTGTCCTTCACATAATTCGGAAGACCCTGGAATTTTCCTTTTTTTTTAAAGAAATTTGTGCCCCATTCTGATTTGTATCAATTAGAATATTCTTGAAAAATGTAAACGAGTTCTGGAAAACGTTGAAGGAATTATGGTAAATATGAATCTGTGTAATTTTTTTTCAATCGTCGTGTACCTAAGTTCAGTTTGTTTAGATTTCGATAGCGGTTGTGAATGAATGTGAGTTCAACCAAGAGGAAATTTCCTTGACTTCGAATGACATTGACCGCGTTTCAAATTTGTGTGACATACGAGGAGTATTTTTTTTTTAATGTTGTAACGCCCTCGTTTTCAGCCCGGTGGAGCGAAACCGCAGAAGAAGGGATTTTTCAATCGGAAATGATGTTTAAATGGGCATATTCCCCCATTGATGGTGGTGGACAACCTATCTGAACCCGTCCTGATGAAAAGCACAATGAGAGGCGCGTCAGTCATTTTTTTATGATATCGGAAATGACAGAGAAAAGAAAATCACTGTGATGATGGGCTTAATTTTGTATCGGCTGTGAAATTATGCTGTTATTCATTCTGGATCATGTTTTGATGTGAAAGCTTTGCATATGAGCCAACAATCGCGTTTTATTATTTTTTATTCGATTTTCGTATTCGCTATTTTAACGCTTAATTTTGTTCTCTCTTTTCTAGGGACCGTCGGTCGGCTTTGTGTACATGATATTTTTATTGATGGATAATTTTTTTTAGATATTTTACTGGCGATCTCTTTTTGATTAAATCGTTGGTTCTTACGAGAGCTTGAATCTCCTGGTAGGTGCGTTTTAGAAGTGAAATGTTCCATTTATCTACAACTTTGAAAGAAATCTGAGCTATTATCTCGGTTAAGTTATCTTCCACTGCTAGCAAAATGTCTCAACCCGACAGTGACGATTGGTCGGATTTTTGGCTGTTCCGCTTGACGGTCAATTTATTCGGCTACGCGACGGTCTTATTGCCAGGTTACTTGCTGGTTGTCTATGCAAGGAAGCAATCGCAGCTTAACCGGCTCGGTAAGAATATTGTCATCAGACGTGGGGGTGGTTCGATTTCCACATACAGTATTTTCATACGCAAAAGTTCTTGGATTTGTTTTAGTTTTCACCCGATTTGACATACAGTCCATCGGTGGGCCAGATCCGGCCCGTATGTTGGACACCGCTTAGCTAGACGCTGATGTCAAAATTATTTCGAGAACTTCCTGTTAGGAACCTGTGTTTGTGTATTAATCAACCCAAGAAATCCCATTTCCCAATTTTAATATCATTTTTACTCCGTATTTCCCCTTAAAATCCCTTCAGGGAATGGACAAAGCCTTCAAGAACTACTGAAAATGCGCCTCTGCGGAAATGGAACAACCCACAATTTTTAAAAACTTGTTGATCTTCAAAATGTTTTCTTCTACCTTATTGCAGACAATGTTGGATATTTTTCCAAGTTTCTCGTTCTGCTCGTACGTGGAGCTGAACCGGATGCTGAAACAACCATGCACGCTGCAAAAACCGAGAGGCTGAAAGAGCAACGCTCTACTTTTGGAAATCTCGTTGTTCTCCTCCAATGCTTCTTTGGATTGCAGATCTCGTACCTGACTTGGGGATATCTTCAAGAAATGATGATGACTCAGGAGTATACGAATGGACCCCATTCTAAAAAATTTGGTGATTCCCAGTTTCTGGTGTTCGTGAATCGTATCTTGGCATTTACGATTTCCGGGATTTACATTTTGAACACGCATCAGCCAAAACACACCGCCCCACTTTATAAGTATTCCTATTGTGCCCTGTCGAACATATTGAGCTCCTGGTGCCAGTATGAAGCGCTCAAATACGTCAGCTTTCCAGTGCAGGTATGCCAATTTTATTTTTATTTTAGATTCGGGATAATTTCAGAAGCTGATCGAATCTACCTTAAATTGCACAGGTCTTGACCAAAGCTTCAAAGGTGCTGCCGGTAATGCTAATGGGAAAATTGGTATCGAAGAAATCGTACGAAAATTACGAATATTTCACTGCGGGAATGATCTGCGTTGGAATGACTTTGTTCTTGATGAATTCTGAAGACGATTCAAAAGGTGCCGAGTCGAGAAAATTCTGTAGATTTTTATTTTGATATCTTTTGCATTTTTCATCTAGGCTCTTCTGTCACAACGATGTCGGGGTATATAATTTTAATCGGATACATGGCGTTTGATAGTTTTACATCCAATTGGCAAGGAGCACTGTTCAAGACTTACGGAATGTCGTCAGTTCAGATGATGTGCGGTGTAAATTTCGTCTCCTGCATCCTGACTTCGGTATCACTATTGCAACAAGGAGGCTTTCTTGACTCGTTCAGTTTCATGTTCGAGGTATGTAATGGATCATTTCCCCATTTGTCCCCGTCACGAATATCGCTTCAAGTGCACTACTGTAACCAAAAATATTTGTGTTTCAGTTCCCAACGTTCGCTGTTCACTGCTTCATCTTATCGATGTGTTCAGCTGTGGGTCAGCTATTTATTTATTATACCATAGCTCAATTCGGACCGGTGGTATTTGTGATTATTATGACTGTTCGTCAGGTTAGTTCTAAAAATTTTGGTCATCTTCGCAGCGCAATTTATGATTTTTGTATCTTTCTAGGCCCTCGCGATCGTAATCTCAACCCTGGCATATCAGCATGATCTAGGAGCGTGGAGTGTGTTCGGAGTTCTCATGGTTTTTGCGGCAATCGGTCTAAGAATCTACTGTTCCCAAAGACTAAAGGTTGTCAGGCAACGTAAACAAGAAACGAAATCGGAATTGCCAGTGTAGTCCGGAAGCCCATGCAATTGCCTCGTAACTAGTGTGATCCGCGACGACTTCCATTTTGAAATTTCAGCACTGATATATGAATCTGAATCACTCTATCGAGATCTCGATGGTCCGAATTTTGTTTTTAAACTTTTTTTTGTTGTTGTTGAAAATATCAGGACAGGAACATGATCCGAGACGCAGAAATTGAGCTGTTTTATAGGCCTCGTTTGTTGTCTGGTTGAAAAACATCTGAAAGTTACCTATTTGAAAATTTGACACAATTGGCTTTGAAAATTTGTTGAATTTCAAGATACCTTGCTGTGACATCACTTGGTGGTGGAAAATTTCCTTGGAGGTGGAGGATTAGTTGTTCACTGGAAATTTATTTTGTTGAATACACAGTATTATGGCCTTGTATTAAGTTGCAGAGACGCCGTGATTTTTAGCGCACTCCCGATGTTTCTCATGCGATGCATTTAATGTTCTTGATTTTACCCGGAATGTTGAAAGATTCGGTTTGGTCGGTTTCATGTTCGCCATTTTTAAATGGGAACGAACTGCGCAAAGAAACTATCATTTTTTTTTTCAAATTCATTTTTAACGTTAAAAGGATTTTATTGGAATGCACGGGAAACATCGGATGTGTGCTTGCTGTTGATTTCATTGATGGTGCGCCAATATTTATTACGATTTTTTGTGATTTTTAGACTTGTATACCAAACATCATGGGTCGCGAAATGCGGTCGTCGCTGCCGTTTCAGGTAATGGTCCTTTCTTTGAATGCACTTGATTCACGCGGAGATTTAAAAATTCCGGTTTTAAAAAAAACCTGTACTGTACTGTAGGTTGACTTTCTATGCAAGATTTTTGAGTATCATTTGCGTACACGATATTGATTCAGGGTACGAAAGAGAGGCTTAATATGCATGAACTAAGATCGATAATGACCGAAAATAAATTCTTTGTGTGGAGAATATCGCCGTATATGAAGTACAGTATTTGTAGAAATATCTTACTGTTTATCTTTTCAGTTTCGTTTTTTGCGTATGGTTTAGGGGTCGATCGAGAGAAGGCTGATGTATTTTTAATTGTGTATAATTCAGAAAACCAAGAATCCTCTTATGAAAACTGTCAATCCGAAGAATTAAATTTGTTCCTCAATTATTCGTAGGTGAGCCTCTGGAGTGGTGGATGGTGCTCAACGCTGTGGTTTGCTTGCCAGGCCGGGCTTTTATTCCACAAGCGGTTCAACATGCGACTGCCGTATGAAGTCGCGAGTGTTTTTGTGCCAGAATGTCTTCTTCTCCTGTTCCTTGTCCCTCTTGAAACGAGCCGCCTCTCTTTGGCCAAGCGCGGGAATCTTACAGTTCGACCGGATGTGGTGATCGTGTCGATTATTCTCACGCTTCCGTGGATGGCGGGGCTCCTGTATTTCATGTTCTGGCAGGCGTATGTATTGAGAGTTGAATCCGTTCTGAGCGCTGTGGCGCTTGGGTTTACTACGGCCCAGATGTGCCTCGGAATCGCTGCCGTTGTGGGGTTTCATCGAAGTTCTTGAATGTGTTAGACCTGTAAAATGTGTTTTTTTTTTTTTCGAATGAGTTTCTCGTCTTAATTCATGCTCACTGGAGAATTGGATGCTGATTCGTTGAGACCTTGAGACTTCTGATTCTTTAAAAGATTTCATGAAAATGAAGATCGGTGTCACCAAAATGCACGATGCTGTCGATCTCGATTTTTCATGTACAGTATAAGTTGCGATGATCTCGTTGAACTATTGAGTGTGATGCTATCATAATCCGTCCAAAGACATTATATTTCTAAAATGCCTTTCTAGGATTTATTTTCATTGTTCGTGTGAAACATGGAAGAAGAGCCAAAGATTTGTGTCCGTGTGAATCGCTTAGGAAGTTTTTCTTTAACCCCTTGGATTGCTTTTTTTTAATTTGTGTTTGAAAGCGTCGAATGTTCCTTTTTCTGCAGATTAACGAAAAATTGTTTGCTTCTTATCTGTTGAACGATGGACCTGCCGCAAGGTTCAAATGGGCCAATTACGAGTGCCCAGCGAGAAGAAATCATGGGAGCAGTCAAGCAACAAATTGCGATTGCGAATACCCAGGAACTTCTCACGGTGAGTTTTGTACAAATTTCGAATCTTTTTTATTCACGCGATTTTTTATGACTCTGAACTGAATTTTTGGTGGTGCAACGTCATTCCGAAATATTCCGACGAATTTGACTTCATTTTCGCGTTTCGTTGATACAGAAAATGTCGGACAAATGTTTCCATAAGTGCATAACGAAACCCGGAACCTCGTTGGACTCTTCAGAGCAAGTAAGCATAATGTAAAGTTTTGAATTCATGAACGGATATGATATGTGCGCGAGTTTTTACAGAAATGCATTGCAATGTGCATGGACCGATTTATGGATTCGTGGAATTTAGTGACACGCGCGTATGGCGGTAGAATCCAGCGCGAAAGAGGAAATTTATAGCGATTGCCGCAAATCCGGTCTCTTGACGTTGTGGCCTGTGAGGATGCCTGGGGGCATTTGTTTGCATTTTGTCAGTCCCCGAGAATTCTCCCATTGTTTCGTTGGATGCTAGTGTTCCGAAATGAATCCCGGATGAGGGAAAAGTGCGAATTCTTCAGTATCTTTGAGCGATTATCCGTGAGCCTTTGTGATCATTTTTTTCGAAGAAAGAGTTGTGCTCGTGAGCGATGGCAGACAGCCGGTCTCTGCCGAAAGAGTTCCTCGCTCCCATCGAGCCCTTGCGCAAAGGGAATTTGATGTGGAAAATTCGCGGGCCGCGTAAGTGGTTTCGGCGTCGGTACCATGTGGTTCCCGAAAACATGACTCTCGTATACGATCCGTCCATGAAACTTTTTGCGTCAGACTCCAGTAGAAGACGTAAGTAAATTTTTGTCTTTCACGTGAAAGTTCTGGTAAATGTACGAGAATATTAACATTATTGTAGTCTTAAATTTGCGCAATGATAATAAAGCTGTCGTTCTAGACAAGCTTATAGACGGTAGCATTGTCTCCGTACTTTTGAAGACTTCTGTAATTGTTTCCAATCCAAAATCCGGGAAGAGAATTCCTTTGTTAATGCAGCCAAACTCCGTTAAGACACCTTCACCCCCCGCCCCCCTCCCCCGGTAAGCCTCCACCCTCGGCAACTGCCAACTTCATTTTATTTCTTTAAACAACTCTACTCTAATGATAATAGCATTGGAAACCCTGTTGATACGCCATCCGCTAAAATTATTGACCACTGGAATATGCTCCTGTCAATTAATTTTGTCTTCGATAGCTCGCCAAAAAGACCCAAGTTTCTGTGAGAGGCTTTCAATAAAAGAAACACAAACCCAAAGATGATGTAATTCACTTCTTGGGAACATTTGCTGGATATAATTTACTCATCCCAGGGTTATTTTGATCGTTTTCTAAAAGAATAAGGAAATTTATTTTCGATTATACATTTATAATTGACTCAATTATTTTAGCTTTTTTGATGTACCACTTACCCCGTTAAACCGCCACGAATCTCGCAAACAATTGGTAGCGGCTTTATCAAGGTTTGTCTGTACGAGATGAGTGAACTTGAGGCATTGAACGTTACGAAAATCACATCAAATGAACAAAAATTTTCGGTTTTTGCTAAATGAAAAAATCGTTGAAGTTCCGAAGCCTTTTTTCTCAAGTCCGAGAACTACTGGAATAACTTACTGTGCCTTTGAATTGTTCTTTTTATTGATGAGTTCATTTTTTACCGTTATCTCATGATAAATTCGCACATCGGGATCAGCGCTGATAATGGACTGGCCTCCATGAAAAAAGGTTCGTCTCGATTTTTTCAGTCCCTCAGTATAAGATTGAGGATGCCTGTTGCAATTATCAATTTCGTCAAGTGATTGTGGTGCAGTATTCATTATTGAAAATTAAGTCGATTCGATGATTTTATTAAATTAACTTGTAGCCTGTTTGAGGAGTCCCCAATGAAACTGCTTCTCAAGGGAAAACATGATTTGCAGTTCCATTGGCGTCCATCAGTGAAATACGAAAAGGATGGAAAACGGACGTATTCAACAAGTTGATATCTGAACAGCGTGTACCAGAAGACGATGAGCGGCGTTGCTTTTCAATCATGTACAAAAATAACGCCAAAAGCCTCGATTTGATGGCCACGAATGAACAAATACGTGACGCGTGGGTGAGGGGTTTACAGCTAATCGTTGACCAGGCGAAAGGGCTATCAAGGGAGGATACCTATTTGAAGTAAGTCTATTTATAAAAGAATCTGTTTTTATTCACGACATATCCATGTTTTGGGATTCGTTGTTTGTTTTAGGTGGCTAGAGAACCAGTTTTTTGCAGCTGACAAGAACGAGTCTGAAAGCTTGTCTTTCGACGAAGTTCTCGCACTGTTGAAGAACATGAACATTGAATTGGATAAACGTCAAGCAAAGAAGCTTTTTATGGTAATTTTGCCACATGAAGAAAATCCCTGTATTTCAAAAAACGTGCATATTATTAAATTTTTTCAGGATGCAAATCTGAACAAGTCGAAGGTAGAAAATGGTAATGTTTTGGACAGTGACGAGTTCATCGCATTCTTTCGCCTGTTGGAATCAAATCGCCTGGAAGTAGAGGAAGTTTTCAAGAAATATACAAGGGAAGTGGGTGACCAGGAATTGACGACCAAAAGTTTGGGAGAATTTTTTGCCAACGAGCAAGGTATAGATCTGATAGAAGAACAAGCAAAATCTCTCGTCGCTGCCTATGAAAAATCGGGGCTTGGTGACCGTGGTTTGCTGTCAAAAAATGGTTCGACCCTCAATTTATTAATTTTTTTTATTCTCACGATTTTGAAGTTATTTATGCATTTTGCAGGATTCCGGTTGCTATTGCTCTCTGATGAGATGTCGATTTTCAGCAAAGATCACGCGAGTGTTCATCATGACATGTCACAGCCGTTGTCGCACTATTTCATCTCATCGTCGCACAACACGTAAAAAAATTTTTATGATCTGTTTGATCAGTTTATTGTATGTTGCTGTTATACCCCATTTTCAGATATTTAACTTCACATCAATTGGCTGGAGCAAGTAGCGTCGAAGGTTACATATATGCTTTGCGCCAAGGTTGTCGCTGTGTCGAATGTAGGCATTATTTTAGAAATATTCTAAAATTCGTTGTTGCGAAATTTTAGTTACTATTATTTCTTAGTGGACTGTTGGGATGGAAGCGACGGTGAACCCATTATTTACCATGGACACACACTGACGACTAGGATTTTGTTTAAAGACGTTATCCAGGACGCGATCAAATTGTATGCTTTTGCCGTCACGCCATACCCTTTGATACTCTCGCTTGAAGTTCATTGCAGTGCTGAGCAGCAGACAAAAATGGCTCAATACTTGAAGAAAATTTTAGGCGGTTAGTGGCTGAATTTTAGTTATAAATTTTTCAATTGGAAACTGTATTTATTTGATGCACTCGTTGACTGCAGCGCAACTGTACTGTGAACCGGTTGATGAAAACATGGCAATGTTGCCGTCGCCTGCTGATCTGATGAACAAAATCGTCGTCAAGGTAAGTTTGTTTCTTGCTGGAATTCTGTAAAAACCGAAACGAGTGAGTTTTGCTTGTGTTTCATGCTGCTAGATGCATATATTTGTATCAGAGCGATTCTTTTGGAAATGGTTTAGGGTGAGAAGTCGATTTCCCTTGAATTTGCTCTATGTACGTGAATACCGGTGTTACTGGTGCCTATAAAAAATGAAGTGACGATGATTATGTCTTGCAAGGCCAAAAAATCTACTGCTGAAGGAAGTGCCGAAGAATTGTATGACGTCGACCGCCCAGATTTTGCTACGAATGATGAAAATGGGGACTACGCTGTTGTAACTGAAAATTTATCTACCAAATTGTCGGATTTGGTGAACCTTTGCCAAGCAGTTAAATTTCAAGGCTTCCAAAAACCAGGTTTGGTTAATATTGACGTGGTCCTTTTTTTGTTTCCTCAATTATGAATATTTTGTGCATTGGTCAGGAAAACCGTTCCAAATGTCTTCGTTCAGTGAGTCGAAAGCTGATGATTTCATCGCAAACAATATGGCCGACTTCGTAGAATATAATCGGAGGCAATTGAGCAGAATTTATCCCGGAGCCCTTCGAACTGACTCGTCCAATTTTAATCCCGTGAGCTATTGGAGCGCGGGTTGTCAGATCGGTAAGCTTTCCCTTTTTTCATTTAGCCCACTATACTTTTTTTTTTAAATTCAAATGCAAATTCTGACTGAATGGGAGACTCACGATTTTTGTCACGTTAAATTCCGCCCATCGCAGTGGCGCTGAATTTTCAAACGGAAGGAAAACCTATGCTGCTGAACAGGGGAAAGTTCAGGGACAATGGTGGTTGTGGTTACGTTTTGAAACCGAGTTACATGAGGAAAAAAGGCTACTCGCCAGGGGATGAATTTCGCAGATCTAGCGAATCTGCAGGTTGGCGCACTGGTGGAGCAGGACCAGCGTACGTATGAGAAATTGGCACAAGATTTAAGGTTTGCATCGAAGCGTGGTGCTACATTCTGACAACTTCAGGAATTTTGATAATTGATCATCAGCTTCTTTAAACGCGATTCTCTTCTAGGTCTTTCATTTTTTGTGTCATTTTCTCGAAATTGATTACGAGGGGTGTTCGATATCCGCACGCAGTCCTTTATTTATCATACAATGCCGGATTTTCCCCCGAATACAATGCTGTATTACAATACAGTACTGTATTTAAGAGGATTAGATCATTCAATTGTTCTGTCGGGATTATTTCCGGGTTTACACATTTTCTTTTTTTTCCACTGATACATTTTGTTATCATGGATGATGAAAAAAGCTGTTCAACCATTACCTTCCCTTCCACTTGTCAGTCAGATTGAATGATCTAAAAATTCTTGCAAGGTCCCAATGCAATAAAATGTCTCAAAAACCACCCAAACCTAATCTAATTAGTTTCGCAAATCTTCGATGGTGTTCCAATTCAACCATTTAAAGTTTGAAGACGAGAACAGTTTCGAACTCGGCATTAGTGGCATATTTGAATTTTTCGATCGACAGAGCTGAAAGTAAAATACCACTCGTACGAGCCATTATTTGCTGTCATAGTAAACTTATAAAAAATCGCATAGTTTTTTAGTTTCCTGTTCTTGCTCTTGTCGGATTAGTTTTTTTTCAGTTCCGGAATGTATGTCATTACAGGGGAAAATGCCTTTTGAAGCTGCGTATCATTAGTGGACACTGTCTGCCGAGACCAGATGGTTCGATGAAAGGAGAAGTGGTCGATCCCTATGTCAACGTTCATGTGGTTGGCGTTGAAGAAGATCTAAAGAAAGTGCAAACCCAAGTTGTCCGCAATAATGGGTTCAATCCTCTGTGGAACGAGGTGTTCGAATTCGTCATTAAAGTACCGGACCAAGCCCTGCTAGTTTTCCTTGTCAAAGACGAAAGCACTTCGGGAAAAAATCAACTGATTGGCTCTTATGCGGTTCCCTTGATGGCCGTGGGAAAAGGTTTTTCATTTTGAAGAAGTTATTTTAAATTTCCCTGCTTATTAGAATGCAATGAATAAATTTTGATTTGTAAACTTGGTCTTATGTGAACATTTTGCAGAGCTTAATTGGTTCAAAAAAAGAGAAAATGTTTTTACTGATTTTCAAAACTTTTTTTTTTCAGGCTATCGTTGCGTACCGTTGGAAAAAGAAGATGGTCAAAGCTTGGCACCTGGAGCCATATTTGTCCAAGTCGACATAAATTCGAACTGAATCCGTCCATGCTAACCTTTTTTCGAAGTCCATCCATCGCGCATTGTTCCTAGTGCCTTAACTTGCCAATGCGTTAAGTGAGACTTGATGCTTATTGTGTAACCGTTGCTTAACGGTAAATGCCAGTTTTCTAAATTGGATGGTACCGATGAGCAATTTTTCATTCCAAAGTATGCAAACGTTCGGTGAGTGGATCTGCAGTGTTCTTCTATCGTGATTTTGATTGACAAAGGTGATTGACAGTCATGTAATAACTGGTGCTCCTATTTTATTTAAATTGTGAATAGCAAGCGCCATTGAGAAGAAGTGCTATAAGAAATCCCATTCGGCCAAAAAGATTCTTGAAACTGATCTAGTAACATAGTTGGTCGGATGCATCGCTCGCGTTCAAGATTTGTACAGGAATAACAAGTGCCTCATATTCTCACTAATGCAACTGCTTGAAGTGATGTGAACCCGTATGTAAACATTAGTAATCAAGAGCGAATTGATTTTATTGACGAGATGTCGTATCGACGGAGCTGTTCAACTTTGTGCTCATTTTCCATTGCAACACACTGTATTAAGACTTGTGAGGTCTGCCCACGAAGCATAGGACGGAATTTCGTTCGACTGAAGAAATTTTAATTTTACTATTCGTTTTTTCTGGCATCAAATCGGAAAGAAAGTGATCGATTTACAATTGTTACGTGCGTGAGTCTTTTATTTGATTTTTTCAACCATCGAGAAGCACTTTCCGAATAATACTGTATAATTTATTTTCGCAGGCTTTTGTGCATCAACAAATTTCGCTTGTGATTTTGTGGTTACATTTTATTACAATGGATTCCTTTTCAAAATTCAGATCTGACCCAAAACCTCATGAGCATTATTCTGTTGAGACATGTGCTGTTGCTTAAATATTCCTGGCTGTGAAACGCTGTTTTTTGTTTTTGCTTGACGGGCAATATTTGCATTGTTGCCGTTTACGTGGGTGTTGATTGTACATTTGAAATAACTCCAGGTTAGTGTGCCACTCGTTTTTTCCAATCTGGCAGCAACGGAAAATCTGATTTCCTTATTTTCTACGAATTTAGTTGGCATGGGATCCTTGGGTGGCACTGAGCAAAACCTGAAGGTTGTTCCTCATTCGGTGCAGGACTATGAAGGACGGGAAAAGCCTTTTAATCCTCCGGTTTATCTACAGAGATACAGCGCCGTGCTGAACATTATTAAGCAGTGTTCACGTCCAGGTCCTCTAAAGGTACTTTTTTTCTGCCCTATCTGATCTAAGTGATCTGATGTTGATCTGTTTTAAGTGATTTTAAAAATAAAATTCCAAGAAGCGTTAATACAATACAATTGAATGCCGATACAATAAGCGTTTTGGCTACAGTTAGCATTATTCTTTTAATTACAGGGGGACTCTATCTACGACTATTTTCTCTACAACGATTTTCTCTGTGTAACGATTTTTATTTTGGTCGCATAGTTATATGGGTTATCTGTAATGAATTTTTTCTGGTCCCTTGAATTTCGTTGTAGAGACAGTCCACCTTTATTCTCTGTCCTGCTCTGCTTTTCATACCGTCTGTGTCTCGTTTTTCGAAAGGTCGTGGATTTCGGATCTGCAGAAATGAGTTTTGTGGAGTACGTCAAGTCAATTCAAAATGTTGGAGAAATTCTGTGCGTCGACATGGATCGACAGCTTTTAAAAGACATGAAAAGTCAAGCTGCTCCGAATTACACGGATGATTACTCGTCTCGCGCACAACCGCTTCGCACCAGAGTCATGTGTGGCTCAGTTGTTGACTGGGACGAATCGCTGCGAGACGTCGATGTTGTGACAGCCATAGAACTCATTGAGCATTTGCACGAAGATGCGCTAGAGAAGTTTCCCTCCGCTGTATTTGGGAAAGTTCGACCGTGGCTCTGCGTTATATCAACTCCGAACTCGGATTTTAACGTGTTGTTTCGGGACTTCAAAGGTTTCCGGTGAGTTTCTCGCTTTCGTATCATTGATCGGTTAACACGTCGATTGAATAAATTATAATTTTTTGTTCTAGTAGCCTTTCAACCAGTTAATTTTTCAGTAATTATGTTTTAAAAAGTGTTCGAATCTTCAAATCATCTGTTCTTACATTTTGGAAGTCGCATGCCAGTACGTGATGCATTTGATGAGATAATCAAGTAATTGCGTATCGTAGAGGAATAATCCTAATCTTATTCACCATCCTATTATTCCTATCTGGGCAGCCCTAAATTATTTTGTTGCCTCAAGTTTAAATTAAAACGTGAAATATGAGGAAGATAAAAAATTGTGCGTTGAGGCACCAATTATAGGTATTCATTTCTAAGCGCCCATGCATGTCGTCAAACTTGTTGACTCAATCCCAAGATGTTTAGTATGATATAAAACCTTTATTTAGTGCCCTAACTGATGCAGTCTTCTTTTCCTTTTTTGGGCATTCTTCGTTTGGTGAGCAGTTTGGTTGGGCATAGTCCGCCAGGTAATGCCTACAATTTGCAGATGTTAAATGAAAACCTATTTCCTCACAGGGACTGGATGAACTTTTAATTATGACTTTTCTCCATTTCAACCTGTTATTCAAAAGTCAGATCACGAAATGATCAGATAAAAAGTGCTATGCCTGTTTATAGGTTTGCCTCTAATTGTAGATTGCCTTCGATGATTCTGGAAACCGACTTGAAGCACGAGTTTAGAATGTGATTTCCTTTTTTACCTTTTTTTCAGGCACTGGGATCATAAGTTCGAGTGGTCACGTGAAGAGTTCCAGATGTGGTGTAATCAATGTTGTGAAAACTTCGGCTATACGTGTACCTTCACCGGGGTTGGAGACCCGACGCGCCTGGACGGAAATCTGGAAAGTCATGGTTATTGTTCGCAAATTGCTACTTTTAAGCGTTCGGAATCCGGCTACCCGGCCACGTGCAGTATTCCTGATGCTGAAAATAACTACGAGCTCATTGCGGAGTACTTTTTTGCGGCTCGACAAAAAACCGTGGAGGAGCAATTGGTGGATGCTATAGTCGACTCGGCACGAAATATTGCGATGGGTTATCCCTTGTATGACGAAAACGTTACCCTCTACGTGCACATATCGAAGGCTGTGAAGCATTTACGATGTCCTCAAAATATCCGTGCGGCGACGGAATCTTATGATCTTCAGTAAGTTTGGCTAAATATCTCTGTTCCAGCCTGAAATTCGTATCGTTTTCGGAAATTTAAAAATATGTACAGTATAACAATTTTTTCTTTTCCTTCCCAGGAATCTCTTGGAGTCGCATGAAGTCAAGATAGTGAGTGATCCACCGTCGAAAGCTCATGTTATATCTTCGTTTTTCGCCCCGAAATGTTACGGAGACTTTTACATTGCGTAAGTTGTTTATTTTTGCTTTCTGGATTAGGTTAGAAAATTACGGACTTCGCTTCGCGTGTTTATTAGTGTATCCAAACCGAGTTCGGTTGAAGACGTACATGAGCCGACTTCGCCAATTCCTCAAAGTGCCGATGATGGTGTGGAAACTGACAGTAGAACTCCGCCTGCGAATGAAGAAAGTTGCGGTTCTGGTGGAACAAACGAGACACCATCGGGGTGGAGCTCACCAGTGTCTTGTACCACGTGTGCACCGTTTGCGGGAACCACTTTTATGTCAGATCTTGGGCTACCGAATTTTCCGCCTCCATATCGACCGCAAATGTTCATGCCTTTCTATCAGCAATTTTATCCCGACTTGAGTTTGAGGTAAGTTTCTTACCCTTCCTCCTAGTTGCCCTGAGCCTTGATTTTTTTTTTTTTCTTCTTCCGAGTCGTGGTTGCTGTTTCATGTAATTTTTTCAGCTCAATCTGTACGGGAATCAGCAAGTACCGTCAAGAAATATAATTTACTCAAACATCAGACTTTACTTTTATTTTGATTAGCAGGTATAATTTTAAAACATTTGTACACTCCTCACGTGCAGTGTACAAAAGTTTCTGACTTATTCAAAATCTAAGAATTGAGGGCTAACTTTTCGAAATGAGGGACAAAAGACCTGAAGTGAGTCTCGGAGTGAGTGGAGTATTACTGAAGGCGCTGTAATATGATCTTAAATGCTTTAACATTATTTCCAGGCTGCTCTGCATTTGGTATTGAATTGCATTCCTTCAAATATGGACGCTTCAGTTTGTTCGATTCTTTTGCAGATACCCTGTTCCGGGCTATAATCCGTTGCTGATGAACGGACAACCGCTTTTCCAGCCAACAGTTCACTTGGTTCCCAAATTCGGTGCATGTGATGGTCGCTACCTGAAACCCTCTCACGTGATCTTGGTTCCGATGCAAGCGGTGAACAAGTATCCTTTCGGTGGAGCTCCGCCGTCCAATTTTAAGCGTAAATTTCGTGGCAATTATTCTAAATAATTTATAGCATGATTTTTGCAACCTCGTTTTACGGGTGAAGCTATCGGTTGATCGTATTTTGAAAATGTTCAGTTCGTTCGCATTGCCTTTCATCGTTTTGCACCTTTTTTCAATGAGTTGAACGCGTAGAAAAAGTTACGAATCTTAGGCATGCAATGGTTTTCCTCTGGGCATCGAATGCAATGGGATTGATTTTTATTTTTATCTGTTTTTGGGGCGACTTTTTTTGTTTTGTGTTTTCGGGAGAGATGAATGTTTTTTTTATGCACTTGATTGTGTCTTTCTAATTACATGCGGAGAAAATGACTAAATCTCAAAGGGCTCCTTGAAAAATGTTTTTCAGTGCTTTTTCGGATAACTCCAAATCATGTATCTCTTGAAGGCGTGTCTTGTGCCCGAACTCAGTGACATTAATGAATGGTGCTTGATTTTCTTGTGCTGATTTTTTTGGTCTAACAGATGCTTTCTGTGCGCTGTCACATGTGCTGAAAAGATATTTGATCTCTTAAATTTTTTTGTGGTACAAAATTCTCTGAGGATATTCATTTAGTCTTCCTGAGAAAGTGTTTGTACTTCATTCGTATCGTTAGAATTGGTTACTTACGGAACCTTGCCATGACGCAGTGACTTAAAAATATCGTCTTTGCGCGTTTTTTTATTTTTATTTTTTTTTTTACGACGTACCAAACTTACTGATGCGATTCGTATGAATTAACCTCGTTGGCTATCTGCGATATTTACGAGCAATATATCGGGCTAATATTTCTTGAGTGAGTATCGAGTGCTGGGGTGTTTTTGTGGGAGAACGGAAAGAAAGTACCGTTTCGATTGTTCGGGTCTCATTGTACTTGCTGATCATGCTTCAGCGTTCCGTTCTTGGTCATCACGGATTTGTTTGCTGGAACACGAACGGCGGGTGAGAGATTCAGTTCTTGAGTGCTGCTGTGATGAGCCATAAACCAGTTGCTATGTTACCTCAGAGTGTTTTCAGTGGACTTTCTTCGTTCTTTCTCGTATTGTGGGTTGCTTTTTTAGGGTGACCCATATTAGAAGTGGACGAAATTTCAAACAGCGATACCTCATGAGATATTGATGCTGAATTCTGAAAAATAAATTTAAGTTTATTAATTTGTAAAAAATAATTTCTGGTGTTTATTGGGTGTAACCATGAAGGCAATTCAAAAATAAATGGGGAAAAATACTTGCAAGGAAGAGTTCAGGTATGCTTCATCATTCCTGCTTTTTTATTCAGTCAATTTTCTGTCAATCTGAGCAAATGAGCTATTGCTTTGAAGCAATACTTGACAAATTAGATTTTTAGAACCAGTTGCAGCTGTCGTGTTTAAATGTCCAGTATAGCATATTTCTCTTTTTAACACCAATTTGCATAAGATAATTTGCCTCAATATTTTCATTTTTCGGACGACAGTATTATAATGAAGAAAAAATGCTTTTGATGAAAGCATTGAAGTTGAGTCCAAGCAAGGATGGGAGTGCCTCGAATCCAGAAACCTGACATACCGTAATTAAACTGGGAAGGAATACGAGGAAATTTTAAATTAATTTGCCCATAAAATAAGATAAAACGGAAATTTAAATTTGTTTTAAAATACAGTACTGCAGTTTCAGCTGTTCATTGCAGATGTTGCTGTTCGAAATTGGTCTTCAATTTTTTGGTCCATCCTGTAGCACCATCGTGCAACTGTACCGTTATTTTTATGAATTTTCGTTTCTTGCATCAACAGAATATCTTGTTAAATCGCCGTGGAAGTGAAAGAGGAAAGCAATTACCATGAAAGTGAAAAAACAGGAATCGGAGAAAGCCGGATTGCAGTATGTTGGTGGTGTGAAGCCTTGTGATGCTGATTCAGATGTCGAGTTTTGGACTCTGACTTGCAGTCCAAGGTTCGACGTGAAATCCTTATTGGGGAAAAAGCTTCGCTTCAAAGGTCAAACAACGTTGCCTGTCACTTCCCCGCCGCATGTTTCCTCTTCTTTGGCCTCTACGCTTTCGGAAACAGTTTATCTCGGTCAGAATGAAAGAAAATTCGAAGCCGTTCAGACTTCTGGAAATTTGACCATATCTCAGAAGATCGAAATCGACGACGATATGCCTATTGTTCAGAAGGAAGAAGTCATCAAAGTCGATAGTAGTTGGTTTCCGGAGCGTCACGGGTTTTTTGGAGCGAATTATCGAGAAACCCTAGAAAAGTATGAAAATTTCTTGACTGCAAAATCTGCGGCGACGAAGAGAAAGCGGAAGCGAGTTACTGATACCCCATCACCCCAAATTTCGAGTCCTTGCAAGAAAATAAAGCAGGAGATCTTATCCCAGGAAGAACCTGAACGGAAAAAGAAAAAACCCAGAAATGAGTTGCATGACTGATCGGTGCAACTCTTGTGATAAATTGAAAATAAACTTCTGGCACGAGTTTTCTCACGATTGTGACGAAACTAGTGCTTCAATTTGTTTCTATCCCGTATTTTCATGGATTTTTTGAAAAATGTGTGAAATTTCTTCCATTCATTCCAGATAGCTTTCCAAAAATTTTTGAAATCCTGGTGTGCGTTGCGCATGCGAACTGACAATAAAAATGAAAGTGACCATTGTGAAGTGGAAGGCGGTGGCATCTTGGAAATGGCAGGCGAATGACGATAATTGCGGAATCTGCAGAATGCCTTTTGACGCCTGTTGCACAGATTGCAGTTTACCAGGAGATGACTGTCCCGTTGTCTGGGGTCAATGTACTCATTGCTTCCATATTCATTGCATCATGAAATGGCTAAACGCCCAGCAAGTCCAGCAGCTGTGTCCCATGTGCAGACAGGAATGGAAGTTTCAGTGATACCGTCATTTCGTCTTCGGTTGTATGATTTTTTGAATACAACTGATTTTTATACTGTCCTCTTTTCTTTTCTTCTTTGAGGCTTCGTGATGTTTGAGTAATAACATGTGACGCACCTTTTTGTTGTTTTTCTAAGTTCTAATTCGAAGTCTTCATGCATTTTTCTTGGGGAAAGGGGGTAATTTTTTTAATTTTTTTCCTCAGAGCTTTTTTTTGCTTCTCCCGAAAGAAATTTCCGTCAGCAATATGTTCGATGGAAATTTTCTGTCAAAAAAATTGGATGCGTCTCTTTCGTGAGCATCATGATTCCTCCAGGGAAAAAATTTCGGCTTTTTGTCGTATATGACGGGGTTTTTGTTTTCTGGAATAACTAGGTTGGCTGAGCGTCAGTTTCGAAAAATATCGCTTGTCTCCTTTTCAATTATTGAATATCGTAGTAAACCAGTTTCAATATCCTCGAAACCAGATGTCGACGGAAACGTACTTGTTCGTCTTCGCACTTTTCGATACTGGAGTGATGCTGTTTCTTTTGATATATTTTGTGATAACGCTTTCTGATCTGGAGTGCGACTACTTGAATGCGAGGATGTGCTGTTCCAAATTGAACATAGTAAGTACTGGTTCATTCTTGAGCACCGAGTGATTTTGAAAACATATATTTCATTTCCTTTTTCAGTGGGTCATTCCGATGCTCTTCCTTCAAACCGTCTTATCCGTGACACTATTATTTATGAGTCATTGGATTCTGTTCTTGGTCAATCTGCCCGCAAATTCATGGATGTTATACGAGTGCGTATATTGTATTTCAAAATATATTTTCAAATGTACGAGGGACAACTCATGTATTGCACATTGTATCTTCTAAGGTTTTGGAATGTTCCGAAAGGCAACCTTGGGTTATACGATCCTGCCGAAATTCACAATAGAGGCCAGTTGAAGGCGCACATGAAACACTGTTTGATTCGTCTGGGTAATTTCCTGATCCTGTTCTTCGTTTATTTGTATTGGTAAGCGTGCAGTAACCTTAATTTGTATATTTATATTGACGATCCTAATTTTCGCGTATTTATTCTTCAGCTGCATTTCTGCAATGATCAAGGACAGCCCTTTGCATGGTGGACCGGATGATCTCGACTTGGGGATTTGATATTGCTCAAGGCAATTGCCTGTGTTCACTGAATATTACGAAGTGCTTTTCTTTCGTATTCGATACAGTTTGAGTTGGAAGTCTAGTCGCAAGTCAGCGGTTTTCTGGCGAGCGTTTCGCTTCTGTGATGGTACCAATGCTTGAGTTCATTTTACCGAGCTATTTTCTCAGTGCTGTGTTAAGAAAACATGGAATCGATGTGTGTTCTTATGTGGCTCTTATTTTTTTGTTCTCGTGGATTTCGTGATTCCATATATATTTTTTCCGTCTTACACAGAATGAAGAAGTCTCTGAAAAGTTTAATTGCCAGTTTGGCAACCCCTGCCCCAGCGATTCAAGTCGGAGAAGATATTGAGGATGGTGCGTATGAGTTGATCGCTCAAGAGTGATAGCATTTTATTTCGATTATTTTAATGTTGCAGAAACTTCGGCGAAGATAGTTGAATCCGACGAGGAGCTTCAGTTCACGAGTGGCGGCAGAAGGAAGAGCGACTGGGATGCAGGCGATGACTTACGTTACAAGGGGAAAAAGATTTCTCGGAAAAAAATGGAAGACTTTGAAACCCTAGCAATTCCCGAAACTGGAGATCTTTCTGGATCGGATGACGATGAAATCAGCGATGTAAATGAAAATGATGGCGAGATATCTTTACAAAAAGGAAGTGTTTCCTGTTCTGAATTGGATGAGGACAGTGACGAGGGAAGCGATGATCCTGAGGAAAATGAATTAGATGAAGATGATATGGGTGACGGAAAATTGGAAGATGGCGAAGACTCCGCTCAAGGAAGCGAAGAAGACGATGAAGAAGGTTCAGACGCTGAAGATGAAGAAAATAGTTTTGATGATGATGATGAGGCGAATAGAGAAGAAAAGGGTCTCGGTTCGGATCTTCAGGGTTTTCAGTGAGTTTCTCCGCCACAGTTAAAAATTCCCCGACAGTGAAGTGTATTTTGATTTTCCAGGACGAACGTTTTCACGAAGACAACTGACCAGTCGGCCGAGCTAACGAAGGGCCGGGTTGTCAAGCGCCAGCTTGGTTCGTTTAAGTGAAAGATTATTAACGTTGAAGCTTAGAACTGTCAATATTGTTTTGCAGAGGATTGGGACACGTTCCTTCAATGGCGAATACAAATGCAGAAACTTCTCCAATCAGTAAATCAAGTGCCTGACTGGCAGAACCACTCCGATTTTATACAAGCTGGTGACAAGGATTTTAGAGAATCATTTATCAAGGCCAAAGCGTCAATCAAAAAGCTCCTTGTTTCCTTCATAGAAGTTAGAGTGAGTCATCCGTCGGTTATTTCGATTTCTTCAATAATCACGAGTTCCAAAAATACCGTGTTTCCAAAGAAGTATGAAGCATTCAAAAACTGAGGCAGTACAAATGATTTCATACAGCAATTATCATTCTCAACATCAGTTGAAAGGTATTTTCAATCCTTTTATAATTCAAATGGTGGATAATAGATATTAAAATATTAGCTTTTTTAATGCCTTAAGTGTAAGTAAGAAGCAATTGCTTACGCAGGAATTAGAGAAAGAAATAATTCGGGTTTATAACTGAAGACTCAGCTTCGCAGCATTCAACGTCTTCTTTCATTTATGTCTGGAAGCCTGGCAAAATTCTATGTATTTGTTACACGGATTTTATTTGTTTTCTATCAATACTTTATTGAATGCCTTTACGCTGACTTAGTGCAGAAGTGCTGTAATGAATTACAGTAAATTTTTATAGGAAGCCGTTGCAGATAGTTTGAAGTCTTCAACCAATTCAAAAAACGGGCATGAAGGAGACGACGTTGATGATGAGTGAGTGCATATTTGCCGTATGATTCGCTCGAGCCTTGCTTAGCCATAGGATTAGTATGATGTGGCGAGTTCATTTTCATTTATGAACAAAATGACCTGGAAAAAATTGAAATAGAAGTTATTCCCTGTATAGCTAGCTCAGTGCTCCGTTCCCACGGTTGAAGTACCATTTCAGAAAGATAAGACTAAAAATGTACCTTTATATGAAAAATGAATGGATTCATTTTCTACATTTCGGTATAACTTGGATGAAATTGAATAATTCGTCTCAATTTTTGTATCCCATTAAGAACGTTTCATTTTGAACAAAAAATTCGATGAAGATAATTGTCAATCCATGGACTTCATTCGCTTCAAGAATTTTTAATTCATTGAATAATTTTTAGAAGAAAAATATTGCGGAAAAACTTGTTCGTTTAAAATAAGACACCAAGACGCAGAAGCTTCAGGTTTATTTGTTCCTTTTTTTTTGCGGATGAATTCGCTACTTGTTACATTTATAATGAAAATACAGAAAACTAAGCCTTTCTTACTGTTCCTCTTTTGTCTTCCGTCTCTCGAAAATGGCAATCCATCCGTACAAACTTCAATTGTTTAATGCTAAGATTTTATCTACCGCCCGACGCAGTGGAATTTGGCAGAGCTTTTCATATTGAAGATCATAAAAAATTACATGGATCAGTCTGAACTGGTTTTTCTATTCCTCCAATACCAGTGAAGAAATTACGAGTAGTGAAGAAAATGAGACTCTCAGCGCCGAAGAAGTTTCTTCAGACGACGAAAAAATAACACGAAAAAAATTTATCAAAAAGCCGTCGCGTCGCCGAATGAACCCGTCACAGACAGTTGAAGAGTTGGACGAAATACGTCGCAAAGGCTTCGCTGAGTCCAGAGATCTTCGCGAAGGCATTCTTCAGGAATGGAGTGAAAAAACCCAACTTGCCTCGCGTACGTCAAAAGCCAAGACAGGATTCGCCTCGTTCGAACAGTCCGCTCTCCAACAAGTTAATCACATCCTAGCTGACAAAGCTAGATTACTGAAAAGAACCAGATTGCAAAGATCGAACTACGCCATCCTTGGTAAAAGGAAGGCACCAAAACCCGAGGTATAATAATGTAAAATGAGAAAAAATCGATCTAAAATGCATAAGGTTCTTTTTTTTTAAGATAATTTCTGCCGTGGATGAAGAAATCTGCAATCCAGAGATATTCGACGACGATGATTTCTACCAGAATTTACTGCGGGAATTTATTGAGAAGAAGGTTTCAGTCGATGGGAACTCAAATCTTGTCGGGCAGTAAGTGAAAACGACGATACTTCTATCCGAGGAAGACCCTTTCGAGTCAAATTGCATTTAACCTAAAAATTTCTAAAATCTCTCAAGTTGCAGAAAGGAAAAAATTTAATTAGAAATCACAACTTCCGCCGAACAGTTAACTAATTAGCCAAAATCGATATGCTTCCAATTTGCAGTTCGTTTTACATTGAAACTACTTTTTCAATTCGATTTGTTATCACAGTAGTGAATTAGTGATCCCTGCAAATTTATGGACTCTTGAAATGAAGTTCAATTTCTGTGCAATTATTTTTATTGAGAACTTCGCTTAAAAATTCAAGGCACCATAGGAAGTGGCCTGACTTGACGCGTAGTAACAAAATTGCGTCTCCGGCATTGAGTACCGTACATTGACATTTAAGTTTTGTATAATTTTCTTGAAAAGACGTTGAACCATTAGAATTATCGCGTAGATCGAAAACAATTTTAAAATTTAGTATCTTTGAATTCGTTTACTGTATTTCCGACTTTTGTTTCAGGCAGTGGTTGGAGATGCAAAATCTAAGGAAAAAGCTTAAGAAGCCACGATTGGACCGCGAGAGCAAAGACCGGCGGATAAAATATGAAGTTCATCCTAAAATGGTGTCATTCATGGCGCCGAAGCATCCACCTCTCGATGCTTTGTCGGACGAAGCTCGCAACGAGCTTTTTTCGTGCCTTTTCGGTAAAAATTTCCTCGACGGTAAAACCGAATAAAGGACCATTTCGTAAGCAATCTGTGCTTAATTTCTCGGGAGGGAAGGAGAACTTACGGAATGAGAATCGAGCAATGATATCGGGAAAAAAAATCGATGGACGTAATCCGGTAGATTTTGCTTGAAGGGAATTCTGCGGAATAATCGACTTCGTCGAGTATAAACGAAACGTGGAATAACATGAAGACACAGGAGATCATAATTTGATGGTTCATCAGAGATACCCGAAAGCATAGCTGAGAGAACATCCGACCCAGCTCATAACGTACTTCCACAGGACCTTCATCCAGTCGACAGCCTGAAATATTTAAACTCTGAATGCGTGTACTGTAATTGAATTTTAGTCGTAGAATATTCAATAAAATTACTGGATTTCTGAATAAATCGGTGGGCGCATACGGAATGGTGCTCAGTGTGTCGACCAAGTCAGTGATACCTGAGCCTGCGAACAACCAACTCGCCCGATCGTTCAGTTCGTCCTCCATATTCGAACGTTTCATCCCAATGAATTTTTTTTTCTTGACCGTTTTATCGTCAGTTTCGATTTTTTGAAACGGATTTTTTGGCCATCGTTTGCGTTGTGGATCCGATTTTTTCAGCTTTTCCATTGTAGGAGGCGGCTGTTCTTCTAAGTCCTGCTTTGATTGACTGGTATACTCGTGTTGACGAGCTTCGTTTTCGAATGTGGTCTTCGGTTCCTGCTGGGCACCGGGATCTGGTTTCATTTCGCTTTTGAACTGGTTTTTGTGTTTCTCCCAATTAGAACGAGACCTGCGATTAAATACGTGGTTGAACGAGGGACGATCAGTCTCGTGAATTTCTGCATGAATGATTGCGTGGTTCAAGTAAATATGAATCAGGTTATACAGTATTGTACTTGAATATACGAGCTTATAGCCGGCTATCTTTGCCCGACTGTTGAGAACGGTAGGTATAACAATAGCGTACCTTTTCCAACATTGATATCAAGTGATCACGAAAAACTTAAACATACTAAGAATGATCTATTCTTCCCCTGGGATTAGATCGTGTCGCACCATATCAGACGTTATGAACCGAATTTCGTGTCAAAATATTTACCATGCATCCGTGGCACTTATTCGCTCGCTAACGTTATCCACGGTAGACAAAACCCAGCGGAAAATCTTGACAGCGTTGTCTTTGATCACTGGAACAGGAGCCCCGAAGAAGTTTACCTTGGGCTTCACCGGAGCAGGCGATGTGAACCATCCTGAACCGATATTTCCGTGTTGCAACAAGTAAGTGGATGCGCCGAGTAGAAGCACGAAGCATCCAGTCAGAAGAGCATCGCGGCGTTTACGCTTGGTAGAGTCTTTGATCTTTGTTTCATTCCGATGACTGCTTACGTTTGTCGATGCCTCTTCGAAACATCGCGAGGAAAAATTCGTTATCTCTTTAAAGGCAGTTCGAAAGGAGTGGAAGTGCCATCGAAAGAAATGGGATAGAATGCTGAAGGTCTTCCTAACGGTGTTTGAAGCATTCGAATTTAGGATGCAGTATTTTACCGAATGAAAACTTAGAGAAGGATACATAAAGAGATTAGATGCTTTATTAGAGAAAGTATTCCTTGTCGAACTTAAGGTTCTTGTAGAACTTTCAAGAAGTTCTGTTCGACGAGGACTGTCGCCAAGCCGTCAAAAGAAACGCATCCACTTCGTAGAGAACGCCATGCAAATAAGTCAATACAGATCCATAAGATCAAATTTGACTACTGCTTACTCGTACGGTACTTAATAATTACTTGAATTTTCATGGTACTTCAACTTAAAACCAAGGATTTTAAATAAGCCATTGTACTGTACTTAATCAGTTAATTTAAATTCGTACTGAATTTAATAAATTCGTACTGACCACAGTATTAATACTCGAGAGTCATCAGCGTAACTCATACGCATACGGCGTCTTTAAAGCACCATGAACACTTAAAATGAATTTTTGAGCTTTAATCTCATGAGACTAAAGTGTCTCCGCTGCACTAATTTCAATTGGGTTTATCACTGTAAAAGGTATTATTCTCCAACTGTAGCACTGATTGACAGCATAAGATATGATCGTGTAACAGAATCAGACCTTCAAAGAACTCCGTATTACGTTCGCTGGATTTCAGGCCAACAGAATTTTCCACGGAGGAACTTGATTTCGACTTTTCTTTGGAGATTTCTTGCGCAGTCGCTTTGCTCGTTGTGAAGCTGTCGTTACGAACGTTTGATTGATCGCCAATTCTCTGCAGCAACTGTTTCTTTCGCTTCGCTATCCGCCGCTTGACCTTGCGTTGAAGATAAAGCCAGAATATGGTGCGCAGCGACGCGACATGCTCTTTAATGTTACAATAGATTTCCTTGCACACGCGCTCGCTCTGACGATATTTGCCGTCGGTTCGGGGGAATCCGCGTCGCCGTGTAGGATATTCTTCCGAAGTTCTCCCATCGGTTTCAGCGTCTTCATTGGATGAAAGGCGGTTTCCTGCTACTCCATCCCAGCGGGCGGTAAGCGGGGTAAGAGAAGTTCAGAATAAAGAGGTGTGAATGAGCGTAGTTAGTATGGTAACATTTGGTCAAGGAATCGTGTTTCTGCCAAGATTAGCCGAAATGCACTATCTGAATATTTCAAGAGCCCGGCATGACGTTTTGTGGTACCGCGAAGCAGACATTAGCAAACTGTAATCGTTAAATTCGCTTATCCTGCTGCATACTGTACGATACTGTAGTTCGTTCTCCATGCCCGTGACGTGTGTATTTTCTAATCGATGATTTTATGAATCGTGCTGAATTTACGACAGTTAGAGAATTGAAGTTGAATGGAAAATGCAGGTTAGAACTTGCTTTTACCATGTTTTCGAATTTTATCGGTGAGTATGAAACGGTTTTCTTTCTACAAGATCAAGGTGGTTTACGAACTGTACAGTTCCAAGTTCTAGGATGTCAGTGCTAGCCCCTCACGACATTTTAACGAAACGGTGGACTGAAACGTACGGGATCTGAATACCAGAGGTTTTTGGGCATGTACGAGCGACACTGCACCGTAGCTAATTTACTAAGCTCCGCCTTTTGTCGCACTCGAGCCAAATGGGTAATATTGTAAATGGTTTACACTTATTCGTCGGTCGCCACATTGAACAAGTCTCATCACCATCTGCCGGGCTCCCCTTGGCTGGGTTGCTTGCGCAAATGCAAGGGGCGAACCTTACTGTATTTTTTTTTACTTTTCATGGTGCGGAGTGCTTACTGCTTAGTCAGGAGTTCAGGGGGAAGAGAGTTGATAAAACTGACGAGGAAAACCGAGGGTTAAGGCCGCGCTGTCCTTGGGGGAGGGGGCTGTCAATACTGTACCAGCACACCAACTTTTTTTTTTCAACAGTATTTTGATGTTATATATGCATGATTCATTTTGAATGTTGCGACTGGTTCAACGCACTATTCCTCAGCACTGAACGACGAAGAGAAAATACATATTTGTAGCTTCGGATTTTTGTGGAATACCAAAAATTTCCTCGTTTCGCGATGAAATAAAAAAAAAAAGGATTTTGGAATGTTCTTGGAAATTCGAAAAATCGTGTACAGTATTCTCATCTGATGAGGTTAAAAATCCTCGGATGGAACTGATTTGTACCTCAGATAGGCGGACAGGTCGTATTCTTATAAAAAGCTTAGCTTTTTTCAGGGTCATTTTGATAAGATAGTGTCATGTTACCCCTTTATTTGTATCTTGGGGTATGAGCAGATCACAGAATCCAGCACTTGTGCTGGCCGGAAAGATTTGAAGAATTGAATGTTTCTAATTTTCATTCCTTCATCCTGTCGACTTCGCAGGAGAAATTTGAAATGATTCGTTTTTGATGAAATTGTGATAATTTTTAAATTTTTGAAAATTCTTTAGAATATTTATGATTCAGTAGTAGCTTCCGTTTCGATGCATGCAATAATTCATCAGTTTTAGCGGATACACTGAATGCTGTACTAAGTTTCATATGTGTACTAATAAATGGCAAGAAAAGGTATTGTCGAACAAACTAAGCAGCTGCTGTATAATGCAGAAAGCGCTTTCCCTGGATGACAGTGTTGAATTATTCATCCCCTACTTTATCCAAGAATTTAATGACAAAAATTCCAAGTGATCTGGAATACAGTAAAATCTCAAAAAACTCCTGAGCGGAGTTAAAAATGTTTAATTTATGAGATTTTTGACTCATGGTAAGATTTTCTAAAAATTAAACCTGCACACATTCAATAACATCTTCCTTTTGTGACCTTTTCAAATAATGTTCACAACAATTTAAAATTGATCTTCAAAAATAAGTTTTAATGTTAAAAATAAGCAATTCTTCTGAATAACTGGTCAACAACAGCAATTTTTGGTGACTAACTTTTTCTAAACACTTTCTGTACAGATTTTCAAGAGTGGATGATCCAAAAAGCTTACAATTTCCAAGCATCAGCACAGGGTTCCTCAAGCATACAAACCCTTTTTAACATGAATTTTGTTGGGATCATTTTTTCATCTTTTTGTTGTAACAGCATTTGTTGTAACAACTAACAAGATTTTACTGTATGCATCAATGAACAATTTCCTTATTGCACAATTCACACCATCAGCACTGACAGCATATGAAGGCTTGATGCCCATCAGAGGAGCCAATCCATTTATCAGAATCACACCGCTTACATTAGCTGTATACATTTCTGGTTCGTGGCCCTTTTTCAGAATTCCCACTGGTATGAATTGAGTACCCTATCCGAGACACCCTTGTACAGTATTTCATCAGAAAAAAAAACGATGTTCATTACCCCGCTGCTGCTGCTGCTTGCTTGCGCTGGTGGCGTAATCCCCTGACATGACATCCGGAACGGGTTTTTTGAATTTCAGAAGACGGGTTCGCTGATTATCGCGGAGGGTAAAGAAAGGATGAGGGAAGGAAGTAAATTCCGGAGGAAATTTGGATAATCACATGACATCTACGTCACGGAAGGGCTAAAAGCACGAAAAGGCAGAGCGATACAGT